ATACGGATTATTTTCGTACCTATATTATCGACGAAGTTTATTCGATACTAATTACCGCTTACCAGGGCAAAAATAAAATACAGAAAGTCTTAATACTCTATTACTAATAATTGAATATAGCGGAGAATATTAATCGCTTTATTAAGAATTATATAGTCTATAAGATAAGTAAAGTGCCTAGAGATAAGACCCCGGGCAAATTGTACCCGATCCCCCTTCCTGATAAAAAATAGATATTTATTATTATAAATATTAAAAAAATATTAAAGGATAAATATAATTTTATTGATGTATTCGTAATAATTAATCAATTATTAAAATTATTATAGGTTATACCCTGTACGGATAAGGTAATAGCTTAAAACGCCGTCCGGATATATTACGAAGGATTATACTGAATCTATAGTATATTAAAGGAAGTAATTTCGGATTATAATTTATAATTTACGTCAGTATTTACTAATAAAATATTAAAATTAATTAAAATTAAATAGATATTAGTTACTTCAAAGTATAGCTAGACTGCGGACTAAGTAAAGGTAATAAATGTTTATATCGATTAATATTTTCGACTATTTATTAATTACTATTAAAATAATTAATTTAAAACTATTTTAATTTTAGATGTAATATAAAATAGCCTTCTTGAAGATAGTATAAGTTTATTACCGTACAAAATTATATTTAAATATAAAATAAGAATATCTTTCGATTAGGAAGCTTGTATTTAGGATTTTAATTTATTATGGATTAAATAATTAATTAAGGAGCAAATTTACGAATATACCCGGCGTATATAGTGGTATATCGAATACGCTAAGGACCTAATATTCAAGGTATAAGAATAATAAGCGGCGTAAATTAATAAGAAACTGAGGGACTTAAATTTCGAATTAGGAAATAAAGTAATTATCATTAAACGGTTATAATTTACGACGATATAACCTAGTAATAAGTTTGATTTCCCCAATACCTGCAATTATTATAAAATTATCGAGAAATTAGGGTATTTTTACCGTTTAAAATTATTAAAGAGTTGGAAGGGTACTAATATATTTTCTATTAACTAGTTACGGAAGTACGATAATAACCCGCTCCCCGGATAGGTATTTAAATACCCCGGCCCGGTTAATACGGACGAGGACGAAGATTCTGAATAGGAAGTTAATAAAATTACGGTGTTTAAAGTTGCTAATAGGAAATTCTTTTACTAGGTAAATTAGTAAAATTAGGACCCTAACCCGGAGTAGTATCCTACTTCGGATTTTAAATATATATTAAAGGCTCTTTAAGATTTTTACGAAGCTAACCTAGAAGCTCCGAGCCCGCCTAAGCGGTTAATATATTGGTTGAACGAGGATTGGAAGGAATATAACGATAATGAATTGTTTAAGTTAAAAGGACTACGGCGTTTACAGAGGATTATAAACAAATGAGGGATTATTACGAATATTAATAAGGTTTATTTAATAAGACTCGCGGACGAATTTTTTATATAGGGGGGGTAATATAATAGCGCTAGCGGATTAGGTTTGGGTGCCGTATACGAAGTAGCTATTAGAATAAGGTATATAGAGGTTTCTAGGTATAATATATATTAGGGGATATATTTTATTTAATTAGTTATATTAAGACTGAATGTAGGGTAGATCCTAGCACGTGCAGTAATTGTCCTATAGGTAAAGGGGATGCGAGTAAAGGGATTAGCTATTAGCGACCCGCATGTGGGTCCCGCTGTCGCTTGTATAACTAGGGTATTTATTCGGGTATGTACGTATATATTTAATTGTTATGGGGCTAGCGCCCGGTTAATATACTTAGTTGTTACTAAGCGTACTAAGCCGAGCTAAGGGTTATTATATAGCGCTAAGGCTAATACGAGCCCTCTAATTCGCCAAACCCATATATTTACTTAGCCCGTACAGTCTTAGCTCTAATTATACAAAACCTTCTTTCGACTACTCCTTTCTAGAGTAGTCCTTTTCCTCTCTATTAAATATAGTATTTTAACCTTACATGATTGTTCGTTATATAATGCTCTCGTAGACTCGTTATATTATATTTAACCCTCTTTTTAAATACTACTATTATTAAACGTTTATAAGTACTACTAAAGAATTTCCCTACCGTTGCTTTCGTCCTTTAGCGATAACCTCCCTATTTATAATATTTTAATAATAACAATTATTTTAAATCGCTTAGTCTACGAATTCCTAAGGACGCTAGCGATAATTTACTTCTTTAATTAAGTAGCTAATTTTCGAGATTCCGCCCTTAAAACTATTCCTTTCGATTCGCTATTATATAAACTAGTCCTCCCGTATTTCGAAAAAGTTTTAGGAAATAAAGAAGAGTTCAAAACCTAAATTTTAAGTATGCAGGTTAAATTTTATATAAATAGCCCCGCTATTAGCGATTTAGAAGCGTAATTCTATTATTTATTCGCTTAATTATCGCTCGCTATTAAAAACCCCTCGTTACATTTGCCGTTATACTTCGGTTTCCCTATAAATTTATCGATAAGTTTAGATTTATATACGGGGACCTCAATTTTATTAAGCGCGTTAGTTAGGAACTATACCAGCTTAAATAGAGGTCTAAGGAATCAATAGCGGCCTTTATTACTCGCTTTAAGGAGGTATTATACTATGCCTAAACCGATTCGTAGCTAGACATTATTAAAATTAATTAAATTACTACTGTTTTAAATTCTAATTAGAAATAACGCTTCTCCGACCGAACCGACGTACTTAAGCAATATTCATTACTATTTACGTATCTACGAAAACTTAATAACGATTCCTTTCTTTTAGCCTCCTCCTCTTTATCGAAGTAAGCCCCAATTAATAATAATACTAGTAATCCTATAAATACCTCTATTAATAATATTTTAATAACCCCGTCGGAGATATCGCCGTCCCAAAAGTAAAAAAATAAATAAAAGAAGGAAGGTAAGTATACGAATTATAGGAATAGTTTTTACTAATTCAAATAATATAAATAAAAGATAAGGATAAATAACGTTCGAATATGATTTAGTAAGGGTTTAGGTAGTTATAATAGCGATAACTATAAAGAAGAGGAATATTCGGATTAAATAAAATTTCATTAATAGCGACCTTAATAATATTAGGGGTAGAAGAGCGCTACTATATTTAAAAGGGAGGACTTCTAATTAGTTTACTAAAGTATACTATTTATTAATTGAATAGATAAATTATACAATAATACCCTTGGCCGCCTAGCTATATTAATACTTATTTATAATATAACTAAGAGAGGGAATAGGTATTATATTTCGTAGGTATAAGAATTATTAAGGCTATTCCCTAGCGAAGCAATGAAAGGGTAGCTGACTATTAATAAGAGAAATAGAATGATACAGAATATTAAGTAATAACTTGGATTTTAATTATCTTTATTATAAATTACTAATATAATACAGTAAAAGAGGGCCCCGGAATTGGGTAAAGTTTACAAATATCCCTTAATTTAATTTTAATATTAGGTTATAATATAGTTCTATAAGGGTAGGCGATAAGTATATCGTTACCGATTCGGGTAGGAAGTAGGTAGTTATATAGCGTTTATTTGGGGGCTTAAATAAAGAAATTTTATCTTTTCTAGTATTATTAATTTTCCTTATTTAGATAGGTATTTAATTAGGTGTAATTATACTAGAGTTTAGTCTTTTCTCGTATATTTAACTACGTTAATTTCTATACGTAGGACCGAATTCTCTAAGGGGGAACAGGGGGGTAACATTATAGGGCTAGCGCCCGGTTAATATACTTAATTATTACTAAAGGTATTAAACCGAACTAGGGGTTATTATATAGCGTTAAAACTAATGCGAGCCCTCTGGTTCGCAAAACCTATATATTTGCCTGGCCCGTACGGTCTTGGCTCTAGTTATACAAAACCTCTTTCGACTACTCCCTTCTAGAGCAATCCTTTTCCTCTCTATTAAATATAGCATTTCAACCTTACACGACTGCTCGCTGTGCAATACTCTCGCAGACCCGTTACATTAATTCTCTTCCTCTTTTCTCCTCCTTACTTAAAATCTTCTATCATAGACGGAATCTTAGCTTTGCCTTCGACTCTCCCATACTGTGCCCTTGCAATATATAGAAGGGAAGTATATAGAGGGGAAGTATATAGAGGGCATTGCATACCTATAATAATATTATTTAAAATAATTTAAATGGTACTATTATAAAAGCATTTATAAATATGGTTAAAATAACTATAATACAATTAATTCCAACCCTAATTCCCTCTCTAACCCTGCAATCGATTCTAATTCCCTCGCCCTTACCCTTCTACCCCCTAATTCCCTCTCAATAACTAGTACCTTCCCTATCTCCTTATCCCCAAATTTAATAACTATTAAATAATTAAATATAGCCGCCTTATAGCTATTTACTAACTTTTAACGGCTCTAACCAACTTAATTATAAAGTGCTAATTCTTATTAAATAGTTAATACCTTAATATTAAAATATTCCTCCCCCTTTTAACTAATAGTAGGGAGGCTTATAAGGATAGGTTATACTGCCGCTTCTAATACCTTTAGTATATTTATAAAGATATATAGGGGCTCCCTAATACCTTCCCTAATATTCTAGGTAATATTTATACGGCGGGTATTAAAATTAGGGTAGGCACGTACACTTTAACAGCGGGCATTAATTTCGAAGTGAGCAGCAAATATAGTAAGTCTAGCGAATGTAGCATGTGCAGCTACAGAACCAGCAATTATACTAGCAAGAATTATATTAACCCCCTTAGTAATAAATAATTGATTGGATTGACGACTGTAAATAACTTTACGTAAAGATTAACGACGAAATGAGGACGTAAATATAATGCGCGGGTATTGAAATGGCGGTGTACGATGTGCTGGCGCTTCTGGCGGCTGGGCTGGGCGGCTGGGCTTACTCAGTATAAAAAAGTGGGTTGCACTCTACGAGGACCAAATCTGCACTCTATGACTACCGTTTTCGATCGTTTGATATCCGAATAGTGATTCCGGCCACCCAATCTGGTCTAACAAGGGCCGGATAACCCAGCCGTGCGTGGAACTAGACTGATTGCGGTTAGATCTGTCACACCTTAAAGAGACGTCGTGCTTACTGTGGAGTGCTTGCTCCGACCGATTCTCACTCGGGTTCTCGAAGATATCTCAAACCAAACAATCACAAACTGGAGTCCTGGTCCCATCTACGGCTTATACCTTTCCCTTCCTTCACATGAGCCCATCCACCATGGGCTGCGCAGTCTGCAACAACCTTCAACCGGATGAGGAGACCCCTTACCGAGTGAGTGGCTTTCGCATGGTCATCTCCCCGTTCCTCAATCATCAGTCACTGACTGACCTCCATGTCAAACCGTAGTACACATCCCCAGAAGCTCTCAGATCTTCATCCAAGAATGGCTGTCCTCACTGCTCCTTCATCCTTGACGCCTCCGTCCACCTGAGCCTCTCCAGTCCATCCAACTCCCATGGAGAACGCCCCATCTTCATCTCCCTCCAACCTTCCACGGACTCAACCATAATGTGGACTACCGTGAACGGAGAAACCAAGTACATCCAAATCTGCACCCCTCTTGGCCACCCACCCGCATGGCCAGGCATCCCTCGAGGCCTGGAGCTCTCTCCTTCGCCAAACTCAGACGAAGCATTCGAGTTCATCAAATCCCAGCTCCAGGAATGCGATGCCAACCACCCCCAGTGCAAGATCCCCAACCCCAAGCCACCAACCCGCCTAATAGACGTCAACCCCTCCGCCTGCTCCCCCGAATCTGTCCGCTTCGTGGAAACTTCTTCCCTCCCCCTAATTACCGAAGGCGAAATCCCCTACATAGCCCTCGGCTACTGCTGGGGCACTAGTAAGACCGTTACTACCGTGACGGCCAATTACCAAACCTATAAATAAGAAGGCTTTCTCGTCTCCTCCCTTCCTCAAACCCTCTAAGACGCCATCGCCGTTACCCGCCGCCTTGATCAGCGATTTTTTAATACGTTTCCCCAATTAACCGTAATATAAATACCGAAAAATAAATATAGCTTCGATAATATATTAGTTATAATTAACTGTTTATTTAAATTGACACGGCAATCCCAAAGCGCATTGGTAGGATAGTGAAGGTCCATAACCAAGCGTCCAGACAAGCCAAAGCACCAAAGGTTATAGATCTCTCGAGGACGAAGGGTAGAATCAAGAAGTTCTTCAACCGCTCGAACTTGATTGCGCTGGACTCGTAGGGGATGTCGCTAGTGTACGAGTGGTGGATGTATAGGGGACTCGGTCGCGATCCAGCCAGCTCGAGTTGTAAGAGTGTAGGTACTGACATGGGCGGTAAAGGGATAGACTGCGGTATGGGGGATGGGGGCGCCGGGGGCGCCGGGTCAGGCTCGGGCTGGCGTGGTGGAGGGCCGGCCCTGGGTTCGGCGCCAGGGTCAAAGTTGCTTGTTCCATCGAGATCGAGAGGCGGCGGTCGAGGATTCGGCTGGTACGAGTTGCGACGGATCGAGGCTTGCTGAGCTGGATGAGCTTGTTGGGCGGCTGTGGCCGTCAGACGCCTGCTCACCGGTGGAGTAGACACCGTTCGCGGGGCGATTGTAGGTCTTTGCGGGTGAGTTCTCGTGCTTGTTGTATTTGGACCATTCCCATTTGCGATTCCCAGTTGAGACTGGAGTCTGGAGCTTACTTCGGCGAGAGCTGGTGAGAATGTAGGCTCAGCGGGCTGGCGGTCGGGAGCTGTCGCAATGGGCAGAGACTCGGGAGCGTTCGTCAGTTCTTGGATCTTGGACGCGGACAGACGGCGAACTCCATCATGAGCAGCTGTCTTTGTCCCTGATCGGCTTCGGGTCTTGGAGTGGTTGGGACTGAGAGGTTGCGCCGGAGCTGCTGTTGGTTGACTCTCGGGCTCGGGTGTCAAGAGATGGACGAAAGGCACGAAGGGCTCGGTGGGAGTAGCAGAGGGCAATGTCTCGTTGACGGGGGTAAGGCGGTCGTTCGAGGGTTCTGGACCCGTGGTGCCGTTCGTAGCTTTCGCTTCAGAGCCAATGCAGGAGGGGTCAACCGAATTCCGACGACTGGTGATGGTGGCATCCGCAACAGCTTGGCAGTCCTTTAAAGTATTTAAAGGTATAAAGTAGTTTTCTAAAGTGGATATTGTATAAGTTTTTTATAAAATCCGCGGCTATTACCCCGGCTATTTTAACGGCGGCCCCGGCTTAGCAGGGAAATAGCGAATCTCAAATCTTATAAAAGGCAAACTTTACTCACTGGAATCCCCGAATTCACATACGTATCTCGACGTCTCGTCTTTTATCTTTAGCTTCAACCCAACCATTTCCTCAGGGCAAATCAAACCAAGGAGATGAGAGGAGGAGTAAAAGAACCCGAGGAACCGATCCAACATCCCGTCCTACAAGGCCAAGAAAAGCCAAAGCCCAGTTGTCGGCCAATAGAGCCATAGTAATACGATAACAAAAGCGAAAGAGCCTAAGGACACTAATAAAGGAAAGGAGAAGGAGATTTATCCGCATAGGGAAGGATACGAGCCCGCGCGGGGCTGATAACTTGCAGCGCTTCAGCCAACGAAGGTAAAGAAGCCGTCATCAATAAGTTGTTACCATATCGACCAACAGGCCCGTGACAGTGATAGGTAGTACGTTCGTTGAGATGCTCGAGCACGTGGTGACGGTGCGGAAGAGGACGCTGGCGGAAAATTGCCCTTACCGGTATATTGCCCTATCGAAAAACTTGTGGATCGACGCCCTCTGCATTATTTAAGATGACCTCTCGGATTGGGAAGTCGAATCAGCGTAGATGGCTACCGTCTACCGCAATGCCTACTTGACGATAGTAGCGGGCATAGCCGCCTCTTCTGATGAGGGGTTTTTGATGGGGAGGAGGCATGCAGCTGGCGAGGAAAACCAAGTTTACCGAGCCACCTGGCCTTTTCCGTCTTCCGAGCCTGAGCTCGAGCATCCCAAAACCAGCAGTTTAACCGTGCTAGCAGCCCGGATCCTCCCCTACTTCGCCCACGCCCCTCCCCTTCTCAACCCCTCCCAGTCCCAGTCCTAGTCCTAGTCCCAAACCGTTACTGTACTCCCCCTCGACACCCGCGGCTGGACCCTCCAAGAACGCGCCCTCTCCACCCGCCTGCTCCGCTTCGGCCTTCACGAACTCACCTGGTCCTGCCTCTCCATTCCCTGGGCTTGCGAGTGCGGACACAGAGAGTACCCTTCGCCCTCCGTCTTTTCCCTGCGCTCTCTCGCCACTATTGAGAAGGAGCCGGGAAAAGACCCGTATAGAGACAAGGAAACGCAGATTATGCATTTGTGGCAGAATTGGGATAGTATTGTCACGGAGTATAATAGTAGACAGTTGACGCAGTACCTGGATAAGCTCCCGGCGGTGTCAGGTATGGCGAAGGTCTTTGAGAGTTTGACGGGGAGTAGGTACGTGGCTGGGTTGTGGGTGGATAACTTTGTGAGGAATCTGTGTTGGTACTTGCCCCCGGAGAAGAGGGAGGAGGAGGGGGAGAATGAAAAGGGGGTGGCGGTGGGACAGTACGTGGCGCCGAGTTGGAGCTGGGCGAGTTTGGGGAGGAGGGTCAGTGTCAAGATGCATAATGAGATGGTGTAGCACTCGTACGGCACCGTCATGCTCTTTGCCGGCGGCGTTGGCATCACACAGGCGGTGCCTCCGGATGCGAGGAGGTTCGTGCCTAGGGCAGAGGTGGTGGAGGTGGAGGCTGTGACGGTGGGGAAGAATCCATTGGGGAGGGTGAGGGATGGATGGGTTAAGTTGAGGGGAGTGCTGAGGAAGGGGGTGTTGGTGGTGAAAGGGGAGAGGCCGGAGGTGCCGGTTGAGACGAGGTATTCGGTCGAGTTTAAGGGCTTGGAGACTGTTGAGGTTAGGGTTTGCCCTGATACGTTGTTGGAGAGGTTTGAGGTGATTGGTGCAGATGGAAGCAAAGAGCAATCGGTGAGGCGGGCGCGGGAGGAGACGAAGGGGGATGAGAAGGTGTCGGGGAGCGAGGTGTACCTTCTCCTGCTGGGCAACTTTATGACGATCAACCTGCGGAAGGTACAGTCGATATCGCTGGACTTCCTGGTGCTTGGTCTCTCTCCGAGGAAAGGAAAGTCAGGGGTGTATAAGAGAATAGGTTATGGGTATACCGAGCCGATTTTCGCGGGCCAGATTGAGGATTATGTTGATCTGGCGGATCAAGCGTTGGTCACCATTGTGTAACAGATGCAGAGTATTGGCTAATTCTGTGTTCGCCTTCTGGTTCTTTGCTTCCCCGTCACTCACTAGAGGTAGTGATACTTGCACCATATCTCGGTTTCCCTTGTCCACATCTCATCTTGTCCTGATACGGCTCGCCTTAGCTTTTCCATCAACTCGTCCAGAAGTTCTGTCCTATAGACTGGTACAAAGGCCGCCTCATCAAATTTCTTCTCCCAATAGTTCCCATCCTCGCCAGGTACAAGATTAATGTTCTCCCTCGCGTATGTTAGTTTCTTGCTGAAATGTTGCTCGATCACTTCCTTGTAATCGAGGTCTCCGAATCCCATTGTTTCCAACTTCAGACGAGACCTCATATCAGCTATCACACGACGCTCCTCATTCCAGTCACTATACCGATCAATGTCAAAGGCACCTTCATCGTAAGCCTTGTCGACATCCTCTTTAGTAATGCCGTAGATATCGGTCAGTATAGGATCTGTGAGACTCCACCAGTGGCGCCAATGAGCCAGCAAACGAGTCGTATGGGCATCCAGATTGTGACTACCCCATGAAGGCGGCCTTTTTCCAAGACCTTCATATTCATAGCAGCCACAATCGAACTCCGTCGAGTATTCCTCATCTTCATGTTGCTGTTTGAGAAACATGAGAAGGGACCCGCGATACGCGAGCATCAACAGGTCTAACTGTGAAGCTAGCTCCTCGTCATCCTCTCTGATTTCTTCGATGTCCTCTGGTTCCGGAGGGCCGTCTCCATTATGCAGCGTTTGACAGCATGTGTGAACGAGGCCAAGCCTGTCAAACAGCTCCAGCCGCACTGCTTGTTCGAAGCACAGCAGCTTTTCGTCACGGGTAAGAAAACACGACTCGAGCCAGGAAACTAACGCATTACCGTTGTGCTCATGCCGGTTGCACTTTTGGGAGTAGGCATCACAGGATACGTGGAGGTGTTGTGGTGAACATCCGTCCGAGGCAAGACAATAGCAGACACAGCTGTCTGTGGACATGGGAGGACACAGACCGGAAACGTACTGGACTAACAGACGCATCAAAGACCAGTGTGAGTAGGGCTGAGTACCGCATCCTGTTGCGAGCCGCTCCAACAGACTGCGGCTGCTCCGGATGTGAAATCCGGGGAAGTCTTGTTCGTTGTCATAGATCGCAAGCGGGAAGTTGGGACTGGCACCCTTCTGCAGAAGCCACAGGCATATCGGTAGCCCGGCGAGTCCACAGAAGTTAAATGTGGCTCTCTGTAGAGGCGTCTGCACCAGTTGCTCTCGGATGTTCGATGATTCGGGCAGGTCAACAACGGTAAATCCGTTGTCGAACAGTTGCTGTGCCACTGCAACAAGAAGGAAGCTGTCATAGACCATGGCACAAGTAGGAACTGGAATATTGTTCCCGAACTTCCAGTAGTGAGGTATTCCATGTTGTTCCTTGGAAAGGGTGCCCAAGACGCAATAGATCGACCCATCCCATCCAGGATGCAAGGCTAGGGGGACTTGAATCTCTTTCTTCCTCAAAAGATCGTATACTTCTCGCGCATGAGCATCCAACGGTGTGACTTCGGTACTGGAAAGTCCCAGTCTCTTTTGGTCGAAGAGCGATAAGTGTTGACGACCAAGGGTGGCAAGCTCTGTGCGTTTGCGAACATGCGACTTGACAACGGTTTGGGCCCAGTCCATTGCATCAGCCTTGACCAAGTCCATCATGAGCCAAATGAAAGGGAAAGTATTCATAGGCATGAAGAACAAGTCGAGAATTTGGCGGCAAGAGTCGTCGTCAGATATCAGGAATGCCAGCCAAAAGGTGCATGACGCGTCCCAGGTCCATAAGGCGGAAAGAGCCTGCAATCCTTCCCTCCAACCCACAGCCAAGTCTAGAATGCTTATTCCGGTAAAACCAAATGCTTGTGCTCTCCAGTTGAGCGTGGATGACGTCAGGAATCGTTCCAAGTTACGGAGGTCTCGATCTAGTACGATCCTTGCGAGTTCCCCCTCAAAAATGGCTTATGATAAATGTCAGCAGCGGTACACTAGGTCAAGACGGGCCCTTCAGTCAAAGGAGGCTAAATATTCAAGTATATCGTTGCTTACATGTAGATAAGTCTGGTTTCCTCCTAAGTAACGTCAATAACGCGCGATGGACGGAGGCATACATCTCTACCTCGCCCCGCCGTCCGTTCCAATCAAAGCCCGCGGAATCTTTTTCCATGTCATAGAACCTCACATTGGTAGGAAGTCCTCCTACCATGCTGCGGTCGAAATCCAAGGACATAATGGTAAGCAGGGAATTGACAAGGAGATATGGCTGCTCTTTTGAATCGAGCATTTGTGCGAATAGAGGCAAACTCAATCGAACAGCGTCTATTGCGCTATTTAGTGGAGATGCTGCCGTCGTAAGCATGGAGCTGTGGAGATGGGACATGGCAAGGTAAGTACACGTATATTTGTTCAAATTCGAATCACAATGGATACAGGCTTACATACTTGGCGCTGTCAGTTATGATCGGTTCATTCACAAACAATTTTGAATATGCGTTCAAGCGGCGTGGTCCAGATTCATCGGCAACAGAGTGTGCGTCGATGCCATTGACTGAGACGAGCTTGAGCAGGTCTGTGATTTCGTCTACGACGTGGTTATACACTGGTATCAGCTGTAGAATCAAAAGCATCAACTCCTGTGGGTTTATTAGTTACGAGCGACGTAATGCCGTAATAAATGCCCGAACAAGTAGGAAAAAATGGCAGTGTGTGTTGAAGAAAGGCAGCTTACATGAAGGACCATCACACAGCACCCTATGAATGTATGGGAGCTCTTGACGGATACGATCAATGTCCCACACAACCCCGCCATTGTTGTTGTGCCGGTTGCTTTCGGGCTGAGACCGGTTGAGGTGGAAGAGAGGATAAAATCGTTGATTAACGTAGTACATGGACAAGAAATCGAGCTCTGCGCACCGCTCGCCGAAGTTATCAAAGAGCATGAATATCGCCGAACTGGCCCTTTGCACGGTAGGAAACACTTTTAGCGGAAACCGGAGCTCTAAACCGCCCCCGCCGATGGTCGCAGAGAAAGCGAACTGCACTGTTTTGTTTACCAGAGGGAGGAGTTGCATGCATAGCTGATACTTCCAGGTTTGTTTCACTGCCTGTCCTCCACTGTAGGGGCAAGAGGTGTGATGTCGCTTCTGGTTCTGATAGCCATAACCAAAAGAAAATGGACCACGTCTGAATGCCCTCCCGGTCTTGTAAGTGTTAATATTGCAGCCACAGATGGGTGGCCCAGAGGCGGGTGCAAAGTTGCTGTTTCTCCTCGGGTCGTTAGGATGCTGAAGCTGATTCATCACAAGCATGCTAGCTACTTGCGCTCTATCTTCGTGGGAAAGGCGTGACAAGATAGGGAGAAGCGTATTGGCCGAGCTGGCATACGGGGCTTGGCCAGTCATCAGTAGCATCAGTTCGCTCCGTAATTCGTTCCTGGCCGTGGCCGGCTCCAGTCGCACCTCCAACTCGACTCGAGTTGTTGCTGGGCTGGCTCGTGTTTGCTGAGCTCCGATGAGCGTAGAACCATGTACGTTCACATCGATATCGATATCGGCCTTTCTGCTGTTCATTGCATAGACCTTGTCCTTTATCTCAGCCAGCACGCTTGTGTTCTCGTCGACTCTCGTTCCGATGGCCACAGTGGTCTCCCTAAAGACTGTCAATTGATATCGCGTTGGAGAGAACATGAAAGCTCGATTTGACTCGCAAATTCCTGGTGGAGAGAGCGAGCTGCACACCAGAGAGTCCGCGGTGGATTTGCTCATTGTACCGCTGGATGGTTCCGAATCTGTCGTTGAACTCTCCTTCCTTCTTCACTGTGATGACGTCTCGCCAGAGCCATTTTATTCCCCTCAAATCCTGGCTAGGAGGTCCAACAAGGGCTTCGATTTGCAGTTCCAATTCTTCGGCTACTTTGTATGCTTGATCGATGTCGTCCCGAAAGGATTGCAGCTGAAGTTGGGGCGACAGGCTCATAAGAATTGGGTGGGTTAGGTGATCTCGCAGTTGTACCATATTTCGTCTAGAAGTCTGAACAATTCCGAGGAGTTCCGTGAGTTTGGCAGGCGTGTCTTTCAGGCTCTTCAGCAGCCCAGCGCCCTTGATTGCGCCTTTTGCTGCCAGTTCAGCGAACTGGCATGCAGCGGCCACAATTCCGATAATCGACACCGGGTCCATGGTGAGGCGGGAAGCGACAAGTTGATGTAGAACGGTGGTCGAGTGTTATTGAGAAAGAAGAGAACAGATTGAGGAGTGTGAATCTCGAGAGTCATCAGGGGTTGGAAGGGAAGAACGCTTATAGCTGTCAAGACTGGAGAGACTGGACTGGTAAGCAAGGATTGCATGTGGTGTGGTGGGGATGTTCAATAATTGGGCGATGCCTTCCATTGACCACGCTCCCTCCCGTTATTCGTCAAGGCTCGAAGTGCCTCCTGGTCTGCCCTGGAGAGTACAGCCACAACGCCAGCTGGATTTTGAGTTGTTCAGCTCTTCTGTGGGAGGCGCAGCATGGCATTTTGAAACCCCGACCAGTTTATTCGTCTTCTGTCTCCAGATCAACGGCAGCAACCTCCACTTTCCGATCGGAAGACACTCCAGGAAAGTATGATCGAGCAGCACTTTCCTTAACAGATAGCGGGATCAACGGATCCTTCCCTGTGTGTCTTTCGCTTGAAGGCAGACTCAGCTAGGAACCGCAACTAACCGAAAGCTTCCCATCCGACTTGCCAAGCTGAGTACCTACTGTTCCTTCTTCACTTGGAATAGTACTGTGTCATGTCATGACGAAGTTGAACTCCTCCCCTGGCCTGCCCTCTCACTTTCATCGGTCAGTCAAACTCCTTCCTCCTCCATTCACTTCATAAGGAAAGTGCACCTCACGGGTGATGGCAACTAGCACCCACCTCCATCTCTTTGAGCATCCTAAGAATGGCTCCCTGAGTGTCCAACGCGTCATGATCATCCGGGTTCTCATAAGAGAACAACCGTCTCATATTATGCAATGAAGTCGGGTTGACGATATCATGCCATACCTCATCGTACCTGTCCAGGATACTGTCATCTGCTTTTCCCGTGTGGATTCCGACCAGGCACTCGTAGAGACTGCCTACGTCCGCGATGCCTCCTGTGAGACCGAGACGGCCACTTTGATCCGTCAGTCTTCATGTTTTTCAACATCATTCAGCAATGAAAGGTACCGGAATTGAACCCACAAAGGATTACACAAATGCGCCGCATCCGCCACCAACAGAAGCCTCCCAACCCTCATCCTCTCCACACACCTCTGATGGACTTTATACGGACTAAAGCACCATGTGCCAATGCTTCTGGTCAATGAAGAATTGGCTGTCGTCGTAGTCGAACTTGTCAAAGTCGTAATACACGTTCGTCGCAACGATTTGCTTGTCCAATGTCCCATGTGAACCCGGGAACGAGTCTTTGCTAGAGCCCCAGAGGCGCTTGCGGAGGGTGGGTGCTATATGATTGGCGCCGTCGCAGCCTACGACGTAGTCGGCTTAGTTTTAACAACTCGGTTGTTCCGTCTGGCTTTTTAACTTTCACCCACGCCTTTCCCTCGTTCTCTGCCTTCTTCTCATCCTCGCCAACATCAACAACCTCCCACCCCCACTTCACCTCTGCCTTCGCCTTCACCTCTGCCTTCGCGTTTCCCTGCCCCTTACCCTCTTCTTCACCCCCTCTATCCTTCTCATCCGCATCGCCCCCCTCCAAATTCCCAAGCAAAACCCTCCCCAACCGATGCAGCGGTAAACAAACCATTCTAAACCTCCACTCCCCCTCCTCCTCTTTACCCATCGGCGAGTCCGGATTCCGCAACTTGACCAACCTCTTATTCCTCTCCACACTTTTCCATTTCCATCCCTTTTCCTCCCCACTTCCCCGTCCACCTCTTCCTCTTCCCTCACCCTCTCCATCCCCATCCCCATCTGCATCCCCAGTGACAGGCTGATCCAGCTTCCTCCAACTCACACCATCAGGAAAGAACCCTTGCCTCTTAATCTCATCCAACACATCGGTTCCCGCGCGCTCAAACCCCATGAAGGATTCGGGCATGTAATGCGAGGCGCGTGGGTTGGTATCTAGGGAAGTGGATTTTTCGGGGAGAGTAACGGGGATGCCGCCGGCGCGAGAGAGGAGGAGGGACTGGAGGAGATCGGAGGGGCTGGCGCCGATGATTATTACTGAGATGGGCGGCATGGTTAAGGGTCAACTCGGAGTAGGTAGCGGTTGTTATTAGGATTGGAAAGGGTGGTGGACTGTTCTGAGTTGATGTCGAGCTCTTCAGTAGAAAGGGAGAGACCCTCTGGCTCGCCGCTTGTGGCGTTACGTCTGGATCGGCGATGGGCGATTATTGAACATTTCATCCATCTGTACCCCTTGAATGTCTTCTTCTGTACCTCCCGTCTTTGTCCACCGGAAACGTGCATGGTTCCTGCCGGTTATTATCAACGGCTTCATCGACGGGTCAATATTGCAACGACGGCACGACCCCGCCTCATAAAGTGCGGTACAATGCTACCGGAACGGCAATGCGTATGCTGTTGGTCGTATTCATGATTCTGTAATGCTTCTAGGATCTAGGTAATGCTGGTATGTCTAGGTTCGTTATGATGAGCAGCGAGGTTTGTCCGGTCATGCCTGTTCTGGTGTGTTTAGGCCCTGCGCAACTTATGCGGAAACGTCTTCTCGACCTGGCTCACAACGCCGTCCAACAACGGGAACCTGCTCCTGTTCTTAGCCAGCTGCTCCCGGCCCAGGCCGATGAAGTCGCGAAGGCCGAAGCCCTTGTTCCATCCCTTGTTGGAGCGGTAGGCGTCTCTGATTTTCCAGAACATCGAACCCTACAAAAGAAAAACGCCTGGTTAGCATAGCACTTGGAAAACCGTCAATCATGGACAACGGAGAGAAACTCACATCATAAATCCTCCTCAAATCCTCCTTATCCACCTTCCCATCCTGCTGCACCAACAACCACGTCACCCCAAACTCAAAGACAGACGCAGCCCAACCAAACGGGTCCACAACGAGCCTGTTCGCCGCTATCATATTCCAGAGCTCGCCCGCCGACAGCGCGCCCTTGCCGCCCTTGTCCCACTTGCTGAACATGTCCTCAAACGCCTGCGGCACGAACCGGCCTTCCTTATCGTACGTGCCCGAGTCCGAGCCATGCTTGGCCTTGTGGATCGATGGGAGGTATACCCGGAAAAAGGAGTCGGGGAAGTAGGAGAAGGCGAGACGGGTCGGGTACGAAAAGCCCAGGTTGATGATCAGCGCGGATAGCAGGCAGAAGAAGAGGTTGAAGCCGAGTTCGCGGAAGCCCGTGAAGGTGTCTTGGGGCCAGATCTGGCCGTCGCCGTCGCGGTCCCAGAACATGCAGTGTTGTTGGAGAACGGTCTGCGTGTGGAGAGGTTGGATGTTAGCAGGTGGACTGGGGGAATGGGAAACAGAGAGGGTTGGGTGACATACGTAGTCCTTGAGGTTCAGGGTATCGACATATTCGGGACTGCCTTCGGGCTGCTCGGTCGAGACGGCCAGGTTCGCGCGAGCGATGCTAGGCTTGTCGATGATGGCGTCAATGTCGGGTGCTTGGGGACGCTCGGCCGTGGGAGGACATTTGGGGACGGCGGTAGCAAAGTCGACGCCTTGGCTGCCGTCGATGGCCTGTACGACGTCTCTGGGAACCACTGAGACCGGCATCTTGCTTGGTTGGTTGCTTGTCTCGTGGGTGTTGGGCAGTACGAGATCGATCGTGTTGTTCGGGCAAGTGTTCTGTAGCTAGGAATGAATGCGGCTTGGTTTTGTAAAGATGTTGTCCGAAGTGATCACACCTCGGGTTTGTGGGAAGAGGGAGGTTGATGTAGGTAAAGATAAGTTGCCAGTCGGGCCGGATGGAGTACCTCGATTGAGGACGATCACCGTTGAAAATACCGGATCGTCTGAGTGGTGCCTGGCAGGCGTGGTAGGGATGAAAGCTCCAATTGGGTTGGAATTAGCGGGAGCAGCCGGAAGTGGCTGTCATCGCATCTGTTAAGCGACGTCGACATAAGCAATGGGCTGACACCTGCCTACCTGCCGTCTCGTCTTCATGTTTTCGAGGACCTTGATGGGTTTGTTGATACAATGACGTCATGGTGAATGGTCGATGAAACGCAGCACTGAAAATGGGTCTTTCTAGCGGTGCACTTCAGGGCTGACATGTGCTTGCCTTAGCTGTAACTGATGAGCTTATTACAACCATTGAGGGCAGAAACAGCAGAAACGGGTTCAATCGTTCCTGAGGACATTGAGATAACTCTCAATTGCCATTGCCAGTTCTGTTGCATTTGTCGATCATGTTTCGTTTCGGGCATCCAGTTACCGCTGTTAGTGCACTTTCTTTGTTTACCTTCCCCTTTTTGTACCCCACCATTGTTCCGCTGCTGGCGGCGATACAGCGAGCACTAACAGTTCAACACCACGGACTCCCCAAACGAACGGAATTGCGTCCACTCGCACAACTTCCTCTTTACCACACCCGACCCATCCGGATGTTTCGAATAAACCACCTCCCTCCTGTGCTAATTCGCGTCGGAAATCATCCACAACCATTGCATTTATCCGTGCCACACTATCTCCAATACAACTGGCGATCCGCCCTCCAGAAAGGGAAGCCCGGGGCACAACATCAAAATGGCTGGCGGGGTTCCGACGACACAGCAGCGTTCCAGCCATGGCCTTCTTTGGCCGGGCCGGCGACACGACATGTAACGTTGACTTATTTTGCGGGGGTTTCTCCGGTTGCACGACGCCGAATAATATCATGAATGGAAGTCCGGTATAAGATGCCCAAGTTCCCCGGATCCAATGCGAATGCTGTGAGGCCGCAATTGCCCTCCGGAACCCTGCTACCCATCCCTAGCAATACCACAGCGCCCATCGTGGGCTCATCACCATGCACCTCGGGAGGTCTCCGTTAACGCTTCAGGTGTTGTTCAGCGCCATCCTCCACACCACCACGACTACCGCCGCAGACCCTAGCAAGGCCCTAGTATCGACACCAGGCCAAATAGCACCCGTCCCTGCATGGAACTTGCAGTCATCAACGAAGGCGGGAAGTGATTTGGCGGTACTCTCTCGTCCCGGCGTTGACACCTCGGGATGGCTCCACGTCAACACGTCCAAGTGCACCCTGATGGGCTGCCTTCTAGAAGCCGGCATCTACAACGACACTGAACTATTCTACTCCGACAACCTCCGAAAAGTCGACAGCAAACAATTTGAAGTCCCTTGGCTGTACCGACAGGAATTCGGACTGGATCCAAGAGCTGGGAAATACTTCCATCTTCTCACGCACGGAATCACGTCCCGCGCCGACGTGTATCTGAACGGGAAGCAAGTGGCGGACAAGAAGGCACAGGCTGGTAGTTATGGAGGTCATACGTACGATATCACTGATCTGGTGGGCGAGACCAATGCATTGGTCATCCAGGCATATCCTACGAGCTACTACTACGACTTTGCGCTAGGCTGGGTGGACTGGAATCCATGGCCTGCAGACAACGGCACAGGAGTATGGCGAGATGTGGAAGTCAAGCAGACAGGATCTGTTGCTCTTGGGCCTCTACGGGTGGTGACCCAGCTCGAAACGGCCCTGGATAACTCTCCCGCGAACGTGACACTGAAGTCCAGAGCCCAGAACTTGGAGAAGATAGCTGTAGCCATCACCGTTACCGGTACCATATCCCCGGAAGGCTACGCCGGCCAGTCGATAACCTGGTCTCAAACCGTCACCCTCCCGCCTCTGTCTATCACAGACGTGACCCTTACCACCACGATCCCGAAGCCCGCCATCTGGTGGCCAAAGCAATGGGGTTCCCAGCCCCTCTACAATGCCCAGCTCTCCGTCTTTGTTTCCAACAACACGCTCTCCGACCAGGCCTCCGCAACCTTCGGCTTCCGCACCGTCACCTCCAAGCGAAACCCCTTCAACGACACCACCTTTTTCGTCAATGGTCGCCCCTTCCAAGTCCTTGGCGCCGGTTACGCACCCGACATGTTTCTCCGTTTCTCTCCCACCAAGTTCGAATCCGAAGCCCGATACGTTCTCGACCTCGGCTTCAACACCATCCGCCTCGAAGGCAAGAACGAGCACCCCCAGCTCTACGAAATCGCTGATCGTTTGGGTCTCATGATCCTGGCGGGATGGGAGTGCTGCGATAAGTGGGAGGCTTGGAGTTATAACCAGGACCTGGCGGTGCTGACGCCGGTATGGAGCGAGGAGGATTACGGCATTGCCAACGCGAGTATGTTCCACGAGGCCGGGATGCTTCAAAGCCACCCGAGTGTGCTGGGTTATCTGATTGGGAGCGACTATTGGCCAGATGACAAGGCGGCACCCATGTATGTGAATGCCCTTGGAAGCCAGGACTGGCAGACACCTGTGCTAGCGTCGGCTTCGAGGAGGGGATTCCCCGCGTTCATGGGCTCGCCGGGGTTGAAGATGGAAGGGCCCTATGACTGGGTGCCTCCCAACTACTGGTATGATACCGAACCGAGTGGAAGTCGTCTCGGAGCAGCATTCGGGTTTGGATCAGAGCTGGGCGCGGGAGTCGGTACCCCAGACTTGTCCAGTCTGAAAAAGTTTCTCTCTCCAGTGGACCTGACAGACCTTTGGAAGAACCCTAACAAAGACCTGTTCCACATGTCTACGGAGACCTCGAGCTTTCACAACCGCAAGATCTACAACGCCGGTCTCTGGAAACGCTGGGGGGCTCCAACTTCTCTCGAGGACTATGTCCAAAAGACCCAAATCACCGACTACGAAGCCACCCGCGCCCAGTTCGAAGCGTACGCCGCCAACTGGAACTCCAAGCGGCCTGCCACCGGCATGATCTACTGGATGCTGACCGGCGCCTTTCCGAGCTTGCACTGGTCCATCTGGGACTACTACATGCACCCGGCCGGGGCGTACTTTGGTGCCAAAGTGGGTAGCCGAATCGAGCATGTGGCGTATGACTACGTCAAGAAGAGCGTGTTTCTCATCAACAGGTCGTTGGACAAAGAAGGGGCAAGAAGTATCGATGTTCAAGTGGTAGATGCAAGTGGCAAGACGCTATACAGTAACACGGTCAAGACGACGACCAAGCCCAACACAAGCAAAGAGGTGACTTCTTTGACTTCTGCCCTCAAGAACATCAAAGACGTCGTCTTCCTCCGTTTGGTTCTCTCGGATCCCTCCTCCAAAGACACCGAGGTGCTGAGTCGCAATGTCTACTGGCTGTCCAAGACCATTGATACTCTTGACTGGGATAACTCCGACTGGTTCTATACGCCTGTCACCAAGTACAGCGACTACACGGCGCTGAACAAGCTCGCTGCGGCGAATGTGAGTGTGACAGCCTGGTCCCGTGGACGCGGCCCAAAGGGACATGTCGGGTCGGCGGTGCGGGTTACTCTAGAGAACAACTCTTCTGTTCCGGCGTTCTTCATCAGTCTCAACTTGGTGGACAAAGAGGAGAAGGATGTGTTGCCCCTGACTTGGAATGACAATTACTTGACGCTGTGGCCGAAGGAGAAGGTCACGGTTGAGGTTAGGCCTTTGGGGACGGTGGAACCCGCAGCTGTTCAAGTAGTTGGAAAGAATGTCAAGGGGACAACGGTGAAGGTTGGTTGAAGATGCGAAATCGAAGCTCTTGAGTTGAGAGGAGTATGCGAATCGAATCTGGAGTCTGCTGACTTTCATTTGTGATGAGGAAGGTGCCATGTTGGGACGGGGAACCCGGAAAAGAGACAAGCCCCATGGATTGGGCGGTAAGTATGGAGGGAAGGAACAATGCGGTTGATGGTCAATTTCCAATCTTGACGATCGGCCATCAAAGGCTCTTTCCCTCCTCACCTGAGTGAGCTTCTCTTGCCGTGATCGTAACATCAAATTCCACCGGCTTGATGAACCACACGTTCTTCAACGGCCACTCCTTCCCAGTTGTTGGATGGATCTGTGAATTTGTCAGCTCAACGGGCCAGAAGTTCTGGATGCAGTGGAAAACAGAGAAGAACTCACATCAAACCTGCTCAAAAAGCTCGGAACGAACTTGTACATCTCCAACAACGCGATATTTCTCCCAATGCACGCCCTCGTCCCGACACCAAAGTGCAGCAACGTAGCGTTCATCTCGCTCACCTTCTGTTTCTCCGTCTCTGGATCCAAGTTTTCACACCTGTATATCAATCAACATGGGCTTAAAACGCAGAGTAAGGATGCCTGCGTCGACCCGGATTACATGATTTCACCGCCCGTATCTCCCGTTATTTCCGGAGTGGGGAACGGCATACGGCAGTGGTTGAGCAGTGGTTGACAGACGTCTCGGGAGTCCGGGACCATGATGCTAATCGCATTGCTTGATTCGACATTATTCATTGCTTCGTACAGGCTTTCATGAAAACATTAACGGGCCGAGTGTGAGAGAAACGAGGTGCATCGGCATCTCGGATCCGAACAAGCCCCACATTTCCGGCTCCGGGTGGCCTGTGCGCCTGTGCCGTATGACGTAACTCCCGGCTCAATCCGTGATCTGGATCCGGTAGTTCTCCTCTCCGCCCCTCCTTTAGCGGCAAGTATACCCACCATCAATCAAAATATCCGCCCCGGTGGTATAGCTGCTCGCATCGCTAACCAAGTAAACATAGGCACCCTTCAACTCCTTCGCATCGCCGTTCCTGCCCAACGGAATCATGCTCTTCCACAAATCCTGCGTCTTCTGATCGACAAAGTCCGACAGACCCGTGTCGATGTAACCAGGCGAGATGCTGTTGACCCGGGCAAAGTCGCGCCACTCGTTCGCCAGCGACCGGGCCATGTGGATGCACCCGGCCTTGGCGACATTGTACGACGTCTGCTCCTGCGGGTAGTTGGCGATGTGCCCGGAGATGGAACTCGTGATGACGAAGGAGCCGCGGCCGCGCTCCTTGAAGTGCGGGCCGACTGCCTTGGCGCAGTAGGCGGTGCCGTTGAGGTCCGTCGTGATGACGCGGTCCCATTCCTCCTTGGAGCCGTCGATGACACCGGACTTGGCTGTGGCGCCGGCGCTGTTTTTATCAACCCAGCAAGTCAGCACTGCACTCAATCCCCTCCACCCCAGACTCTAGAAAACCACGACAGAGGAAGAAAAGGCAGAGGGAAGGAGGGAATGTCATACTTGGCAATAAAAGCATCAATCTGCCCAAAATCCGCAAGAACGTCCTTCACCAGCTTCTCGCAGTCCGCGTAGTCGGAAACGTTCAGCTTGTAGGCCTTGGCCTTGATTCCGTACTCCTTTTGCAGTTCGTCCACGTTCTTCTTGGCGCCCTCGGCCCGCGAGGCATAAGTGATGGCTACCGAGGCGCCCATCTCTGCGCAGCCCCGTGCGGCTTCGATGCCCATCCCCCGAGGACCGGAGGCGCCGGTGATGACGACTACTTTGCCTTTGAGGCTGAATAGGTCCGAGAGCTTGGAGGCCGAGGGGATGGAGTTGCCTTTGGTGGTGGACATGGTTGCGGTTTGGGATTTGGGTTTGTAAGGACTTGTTGGTTTTGGTTGTGGTTGCTGTTGTGGTTTGGTGAAAATGGTGGTTGAGAAAGTTCTTGGGAAATGGAACTGGTTGTTGGTGATGGTGTTGTTTTGTGGTTTCAAGAAGAGAGGGGATGAGATACAAGTGGGAAGATGCCGTCTGGTCAACAAGCAGGTTGTTGTTGCTTTATACATCCGTACTGCCTGCATGATCGCTACCGACCTACGTACCGATCACCACTTCTCGTTCGATGTGCAAAGCATGTGAATGGAGAGCTCTCTTTCAAGTTGTCATTGTGAATGATGCTCCTCTGGCCTGACATCCATGTAATGATGTCATGATTTGGGGGAACTGCAACGGGTGGAGTTCGGAAATAGTACAGGTCTAAACATCCGATGTGTGTTAGTGTTTGAGAAATGCATTGGGGTTATCTCTCTTGTCAATATCCTATCACTTTCGCACCTTTATCTAGTCTCAATCTGATAGGACGTTATTTGCTGTGGGGTGGCTCTGTTATCTCACTAACACAATCCTCACCTACAATGTGGTCGCTGTTTACGGTGGCTTCGTTTAGGGACTGTAAGAAAACGATCTGACAGGCGGCAGCGGGGTGCCAAGGTCCCACCCCGCCCCCACTAAGTGCTTATATCTGCGCCCGGAAGTTTGAGGTGCACCAATCGAAGGTTTTCCACCTTCCATAACAGCGGCCCCGATTGACAGCTAAACGATACCGATTGACAACGACCTCAACCGCTATCACCTTTTTGAATGGTGTCGCTATCCCAAATATCGCTATCCCAAGTGGTGGGGGGGGATGTCGCTGTCCCAAATGGTATCGCTATCCAAAACGGTGTCGCTGTCCCAAATGTCGCTGTCCCAAATGTCGCTGTCCCAAATGTCGCTATCCCAAATGGCGACCTCAAGTGAGGGCTGAGAGTGAGGGTGAAGAATGAGGGTTAGGGTTGAGTTGAGGAGTAGTGATGAGGGTTAGGATTAAGGGTTAAAGTTGAAAATGAGGTTTGAAAGTGGGTGTAAGTTGATTGGTCAAAAAAGTGGGTTCGGTCCTGTTGACTTTTTATCGCTGCGAAAAAAAGGTCTTCTTCCTTTATGCCTTGTCTTTTTTCCTTTCTTTCTTTTTTTCTTCCCTTCTTCCTTCCTTTTCCTCCTTTTCTTCTTTTCCTCCTTCTTTCTTTTCTTTTGTTCGCTTATAATGGGTTGAGGCGCGCAAAGCGTGCATGCAGTTATAGCTTTTATTCGCTTACGGAATTTGGCAAAGTGGGTGTGGGGCCTCTGTCACCTGCAAAATGCGCGGTTCAATCATTTTTTTACAGTCCCTAAACGAAGCCACCGTACTGTTTCCCAAGACTGATAAGATTCATACAGGGACCGCAGGCACGGATCGTCCCGTCGGCCCGAACAGGCACCTTCCCTTTCCAATGATGGCTCGGAATTTCTCTCTGCCACTATCAATTCAAGCAATCGGAAAGAGACTGGATAGTCCAAGTCAGAATTCGTTTCTCATTTACAACATCTCCCTTCCAGATTGAGAATTGCCTTCACTTCTCCTTAACTCCACGGGTTTCTCCTCGGAGTCAGTCAATCGGCCACCTAGCAACCATGGTTGGATATGTACCGACTGATACATACTTAAACTCTGGATTGCAATCGACACGAGCAAGAAAGCTCAAGTGTTACCTATAAAAATCAACGACCGCTCCCCCTTCATCACATGGAGCACGGTGCCAGGTGATTGGCTCAGATGCGCTCCCGCTTCCATAGCGGTGAATCTCGTGTACAGAAATAGTGCCTCCAGCACGACCTTGTGGCGCCCAGAACCCTAATGTAACGGCGTTTTACACAGTAGGCGAGAACAGTTCCGTGTTGACAGGCTGCAAAGGGGAGAACTAGAGCCTGGGCGGAAACAGACAAGATGGGAATAAAACCGGACGGGACCACCAGAACCATGAGATCAAAGGCTACCCGTTCTCCTCATCATTATAATGGCTCCTCCCTTCCAGAAGCCATCGCAGACCAAGAAGGTGGCGGGGACGCCTGCCCTTCGACAAAATTCACCATGGGCCTTTCTGTTTGCCTTGATCTATATCGCCCTCCTCATTGTCCCCTGGGTGTTCACATGTCTGCTGAACAAAGGGAAATTCCATCTCGAATTCCCCAAGAACTATGGCTACCACAACCTCACCTTCCGTGCCCAGCCCGAGGATATCACCTTCAACACCAACCTTGTGCACGCAACAGACATCCTCAGCTACATCACCGCCGTCGCTGCTTTGCCCGTCGTCTTTGACTTGCTCTCTAGGGCAGCGGCCGGATACTCTCAACGGACAAGCCTGAACAAGCCTTAACAAGCCTTTGTCCGCAAAGCAGCTGTTCAGCTTAGCTGATGGGAGGTTCATACGTCATCTGGGCAATTCGTCTCGCAATGGATCATGGCTCTACTTCTTTGGTTCAGGTCTTATTGTCCTTTGTGAGTACATATTATCATGAAACCCTTGGGCTTTAGGCTGTCTAATACTAATGCTTGTTTTCTGCGAAAAAGTCATCATCCAACTTCCAATCCGGGCAATCTTTGTGCAGCGAGAAACCATTCGCGTAGCTCAAGGGTCCAGACCCTCCGAATACAGCATTAACAGCAACGATGAGTGGCCGAGCTACGACACCCCCGGATATCCAAATATACCTACTCCCGACTATGTTACTGGACGGCTGGTGGGATTTGACCCAGCGCCTGCTATCCTTGCCGCGGCATCAAGGAACAAAGTGGTGGAAAGAACCAGAAGTGCCCTGAAGTCGCTTGCGGCTGGCGAGGTTTTAGTAAAGGCATGGCGAGATCGCACGGACAACACCGATGTGGCAAGGGTGTTTGCCAGTTCCATCTCTAAAAACACCAACACCGGCCTTTATCGACAGCTCGCAACGCGGATGAACAGTACCTGTCACTGCGAAATATCTGATTTTCCCAGTCAATGCGATGACGGTGGGCTGAACTACAAGAGCGAGAATCTTACAATCGAATTTTGCGTCGATGGCCTGTTTCAGAAGAGCCCATGGAAACTGGAGCAGTATTTACGAGAGGACATCACTGAGGAGTTCTACGTACGGCTCAGTCCAAATAGGTCAATGGTCAACAGCGGCCAGCTTCGCCCTGGGGAAGCATATCGTTGCGCCGGTACTAGCAGTCTCGGTTACTTCGAACTTGGCAATCAGTTCAACAATGGAGCGCATGGCCCCTTGGTCTCCGCACCGTACCGGACTTTGGAGACCGCATATCAAGCTGGATTCCACGTCGTTCCTGAAGAAAGGTAAGTCACATTTGGGGCTTAGCCACACTGTCCTTCCCGTCCTTCACGTTATATACCTTTTATCTTTTTTATCCTTCAGCTTCTTGTCTTTACATCAATCTGGTCACTTGCTAACGCATGATTCCGTTGCCTTAGCTATCTGGGCATCAGCAATATAATATCAGACCCAAGCCCCACTATGCCTGGTCCTCTTGCTCTCGCGCTACTCGCCCTCTTCGGGCCGGGCTCTTTCTCCAAGATAGCCCAATCAATCAAGACAGCAGATGATGCAGTTTCACGCACTCTATGCCAGACTGTGCCATTCCACTTTGATAACTGGCAAGACGGTCTGGAGTACGTTGACAGCATCGGTCAAGGAGGTGACATTCATCCATCTGTTTGCTCATATGCCGCACGGAAACGAGACCCAGAAACAGGCCTGTTCACGGACGAAATCGACTGGAGGATGAAAGAGAATTGGCAAGACGTGTACCTCGATGATCTGGTTGCGAGGCTTGGTATAACCTATGCCGACTATTGGGCCGACCACACGAAACCTCCGCCTGCGGACTTTAGTGGAGTAGATGCAACTGCAAGCCCCTGGCTATCCATGGCCATGCATTTCGCCAACCAGGCCTTGCTAGACATAGCAAGTACGAGCTATTATATCCCGACAATGCCAAATTCCACTGCTTACGGCGGGCATCAGAAATCACCCACAGGAATTTGGAACGTCCCAGGGCTCGAATACAACAAACCAAGCGTCTCCGCCGCAGGCGTCATCGTTGTCAGCGTTTTGCTAGGCTTACAAGTCCTAGGAATATTGTTTTTGATGGGGTACATCTACAGCATCCCAACCTGGACGGATACTCTCGACTCGCTGGCTATTGCACGCATTGCTCACCAGTTGCCAGATGAGGACCAAGATCTACTCAAGGAGATTGGGCTACGTCGTGCGAGGAGCACCGAGGTCGAAAAGCTCGGGGCCGTCGTCGGTGAGGAAGCAAGTGCAAAGCTGCTTCCCGCCAGGGACGAAGGCAAAAAAGCTCCTGATGTTTCGGAGTCGGCGGTCTAGCATTGTGTGCAGCGGGGATAGGATGAAGGTGACCAGAAAGAATGATGAACGGCTGGGGAAGAAGGGAATGAGGTATGTAGGTAGATGAGCGATTTGACTGTTTGACGATACCCCTTTGTTCTCAGCAATACAAATCACTGGACTGTTTTTTTTTTTTTTTTTCAATGACCCAAGAAGCAGCAAGAGAAGTTGTTGCTGCGATCTTGAATGCGCGACGACGCCGTCCCAAACACATGGTTGTTCCTCTTCAATCTTCTCGTACAAGCAACTCAGCCTCCATCCAATCTTGATCGCCGACCGCCGTTGGAACTTGCCGAACTTCCGAGGGGTCCAGGCACACGGACAAAGTCAGACTGGAAAAATGCCAGAACGAAGCCGTGACAAGAACCGTGACGGTGTTCTCGACCTTTCATCACCGCGTCCCCAGTCCCACCATTCAAAGATTTGCTTCGGGGGCACTTTGACGGGTTGCCTGGAAAGTATAATTTTTAATGGATCGATCTGGCTGCTAAGTAGTCCGAATCCGGTCTGTAGGTATGCAGAACATCAATCGTCTTTCCTCTTTCTTCTTGCACCATTGCACGCACGAAGGTCGGTCCGAGGCAGAGAAAAACTCTTCTTTTTCACAATATCTGTTGTCCTTCGCTCTAGTGTATCAGGAACGGGTTTTCTCGATTTACCTACGGTACAAATGGACGCCGGAACCTATATACAACAGGTACCTACCTCTACCTAGAGGTATTCAAGACGTCAACGACTCAACGGGAGCTTTCTTTCCCATAATACGTCTCCTCACTCAGTGGCTGCCCATCATGATCGTCCCCAAGTCGGTCTTTGCTCATTACATATTATGTCCTTACACCTTTCTCCATCTCTTCTCTTCTCACTTCCTTTCTTCCTCTGAGTCATTCCCCTTCCCTTCTCCAGCGTAACTCACCACTAACACTCCCAGATCGGTCTAACCCTCAATCAAACCTCCGACCAATGGAAGCGCGACATCCGTCTCGCCTCCGCAGCCTCCATCGACGGATTCGCCCTCAACATCGGCGCAGCAGACCACTTCACCTTTTCGTCCCTACACACGGCCTACGAAGCTGCTTCGACCTTTGACAACAACTTCAGTCTCTTTTTGTCATTCGACTTCAGCGCTTCTTCAGGTAGTACGAACGGCGGGTGGAGTGTCGACTACATCGCCAACCTGACCAACTCCTTCAAAGACGAGCCGGCGCAGTTCAAGATCGATGGGAAACCGCTTGTTAGCACGTTCGAGGGTGTTGACTTCCGGGAGGAATGGAGGGAGGTGAGGAAGAAGGTGGAGGGGGATATTGTGTTTGTGCCCGATTGGAGCAGTGTCGGGCCCGAGGGGGTGAGGGAGCGGGTGGGGGATGTTGATGGGGCTTGTATGTTTTTCCTTCTCTTTTTTTCCTCTCTTTCACATCTCGACAGACCTGGTGACGATGCTAACAACAACCAAAGTCTCCTTCGACGCCTGGCCCCGTCCCTCCCAATCCACCCTAACCACCTTTTCCGACGACGGCTACTTGTCCGCCCTCTCCAACTCCAGCTCACCCCCCAACTCCAGCAACTCAAAGTCAACCTCCCCCAACAACAACAACAACAACAACAACAACAACAACAACAACAACAACAACAACAAAATCTACATGATGGGAATCTCCCCCTACTTCTACACCCGCGTCTCCAGTTACAACAAAAACCGGTACTCCCCCTCCGACACCCTCTGGCCCACGCGCTGGTCCCAAGCCCTAGCCTTAAAACCCGACCTCCTCCAAATAATCACCTGGAACGACTTCGCCGAATCGCACTACATCTCCGACCTCGTCGTACCCTCGCAAATCCTCCCCGAAGCTCAAAGTTACGTGATGGAAGGGTTCGATCACGGCGGGTTTCGCGCCGTGTTGCCTTGGTATGTAGCTGCTTATAAACTTGGTAAAACAGCGGAGGAGGAAGGGACTTACAGACGAGGAATGGCCAAGAGAAAAATTGGGCGATGGCGTGGTTGCTGCTTGGTATCGGACTACGCTGGTGAATGTTACTGCCTGTGCAGATGGGGGCACGAAGTGGGGACAGAGTGGTGAGAAGAGTGCGAAAGAGGCTGTGGAGAGGGATGTGGTTAATGTTTTGGCTGTTGTTAGGAGGGATATGGAGGTTGTTGTTAGTGTTGAGGGCACAAGAAAAAAAGTGGTAACCAAGGTGAAGAAGGGAGGGGCGAGGTTCTTTCAGGTGGGGTTTGAGGAGTTGGGACTGGGACCAGGACAGGGGAATAAGAAGGGCGGCAGGAAGGTGAGGATTGAGATGAATGGGGAGGTGAGGGAGGGAGCGGAGGTTAGGGATGAGTGTCCTGAGAGTGGGGTGGTAAGTTGTTTTCTCTTCTTGTTGAGTACCCGGATCAGAGGAACGTGTGCTGACTTGACGGGAACAGATTAACTTTAATGCTGCGACTGTTTATATCGCTAATAGCACGCATCCGGATACTGGGAGTGACAGTGGTGGATCTGGAGGCTCTGATTCTGGGTCTGGGTCTGGGTCTGGACCCGAAGATGGGAAGGGTGATGGAGATGAAGACAGTGACGAGAACGCTGCTGTGCCGGGACGGAGTGTTGGTGTAACTGCCGCTTTGATGGCATTCATTGGCTTTGCGCTGTTCAACCTTTAAAAGTGTCGGAGGGAATGTTGGATGATTGCATGAAAAGGCGTTGTTGATGTTACGTTGTCTGATGATTTGGTGGTAAAAAAAGGGCTTTGGTGTAGATGCTCGTGGATTCATGATACCACGATAGCTTGTATATTAGTTCGATTCTCCCACAAAAAGTTGTAGAAGAAAGTTTGGTCATCAGGATCTCTTCAACAGCTCATGCATTCTTACCTTACTTGTGACCATCGAACACCTTGATAACTGACAAGCGACGCGATAGGATTTAACCCCTGGCTTGGGCTACAAGAGTGTGCTGTGCCCGGAAACATGACCGCCTGTGTCTTCCAATTGGACACCACTCTGATGTTGTTAAAATGCTTCCCTACACCGTCAGCTTCACACCTCCAAATGCGGCTCGTTGCAACCCTCCTCGTTTCGTGACATGTCAGATCTGGCGTCGCGCAAAGACCACCCACCGGCTTCTGTGTCAATGGCCCATTCCCATCGGTCCGCTGTCAGCATGCACGCCATCGGCACAGGCCTTACGTCACACACACTTTATTTCAACGACATGACACATCCCAGACGACTTTCTTCACTGACTTTTTTCATATTTGTGTGTTCATTTGGACGACAACAGCATCACCGACTTCTTGATTGTTTGTTCATTTGACTTTATTTCATCAACTAGCATTACAATTTACATAGCTAGCGGTGGGTATAACACATCCATCTCTTTTTTTTTTCCCCTTACAAGTAAAACCCAATTTACTCATCCTTGATGTGGAGAACAGCCTTGCCAAAGTTCTTGCCCTGGAAGATACCAAGAAGACCCTCGGCGGCGTTGTCGATGCCCTCGGTGACGTGGAGCTTGACCTTGACGGAGCCCTCGGCAATCCACTTGGAGAGCTGCTCCTGGTGCTCCTTGCAGTACTTGGGGCCAAAGTCCTTGTCGAAAACGATGAAGCCGCGCATCTCGAGGCGCTTGGCGAAGACGTGGATGAGGTTCTTGACGCCGTAGCGCTCTTCGGGCTTGGCGTTGTATTGGGAGATCTGTCATGGTTTACGGTTAGTAAAATGAAATGTGATCTAGAAAGAAGGAAACTCACCATGCCGCAAGCGACAATGCGACCCCACAGGTTGAGGGTCTCGAGGGCAGCGTCGAGGTGCTCACCACCGACGTTCTCGTAGTAGATATCGATACCCTCGGGCGCCAGCCTCTTGAGGGCATCGAGCGGCTTCTCCTTCTTGTAGTTGAAGCCGCCATCGAAGCCGAGCTCGTTGATGATGAAGTCCAGCTTCTCGTCGCTGCCGACGGAGCCAATGACCTTGAGACCCTCGCGCTTGGCGACCTGGCCGACGACCTGGCCGACGGCACCGGCAGCACTGCTGATGAAGATGGTCTCGCCCTTCTTGGGCTTGCCGATCTCCTTGTACGACGACCAAGCGGTCAGGCCGGGCATGCCAAGGGGACCGAGGAAGAGGCCGAGGTCCTTGAAGTTGTACTTGTTGTCGATCTTGGTCTGCACAAGCTGGCCGACAATGCCACCCATGACCTCACCGACCTCCTCCTTGGTGAGGGCGGCATACTCGGCGATGGGCAGGTGGGCAACCACCAGGTCGCCGGGCTTGTAGTCGGGGTTGTCGGACTTGAGAACCTTGGCGACGGTGTCGTTGGTGACGGGCCCGTTGAGGGGGTAAGCGGGAGCGTAGGACTTGATGCTGGCGTCACGCATGCGGCCGCGCTGGTAGGGGTCGAAGGAGGCGTAGAGGATGGAGACGGTCATACCACCCGGGGGAGGAGCGGCGTCGGTGTCGAAGCCACGGTCCTCGACGACGAGGTGCTCACCCGGGACGGGGTAGCCCGTGGGAATCTTCTTGAAGATAAGAGTCTTGTTTTGGACCTTGGGCATTTTGGCGGTTTGTTGTGTTGTACTTTGGTGGGGTTGTTGGATTCAGTAAAGAGCCAGAATCAGATGCGACGCACCATGAGATTTATATCAAGGTCAAGTTCAGAGAGGCAGAAGGGTCAGGAAACGGACAGCGTCAACAGTGGAGACATTGCTGGGATCAACTGGGGACATTTTGCTGATAAAGCACGGTTTCGACGGGACGATTGGAATCATGAAGAAATGGTGACGTGGGGCCAGATACTGTTCCCTCCGACCTCTCCTCTCGTATCCGCCCCTGTGGGCTACTTCGTGACATTTTCTCCCCTTTCCCTGAAGACACCACCGAAAAAGGAAACTGTTTCGTGCGTAGGTAGTAGGTAGTCAAGCTGTGTCGCCTTGTGTTGTTGCTCTGTGTTGTTGTGGTGATGCTGTGGTGCCGAGGTTGCCCAGCAATTGCGCCATTGTTGGCTTGATAAGCTAGCAGTGGTCTGTGTTCCCAATTCCGTGTTGGAGCTCCGGCGCCAATTCAACCACTGAGAAGCGGCGGAACAAACCCCCGCGCGCCCGCATTGCCCGCTGTAGCAAGTGCCGAGGCATCTCCGGGGGGCATTCCCATTTAAGCTTCTCTTCACCGTTCGTTCCGTTTCATCTTCCCGTCCCCTTCTCCATCCTGATTTCTAAGCACAAAACGACCCTATCGAGCCGATGGAGTTTATGCAAGATCCTAAAACTCCCGTCCCTTGGTACCCGTCCCTCGGATTACTTTGCCGCGGAAACCGACAGAAACATCGAGGAGCTCCTTCTGTTTGTTTCAGAATTTCGACAGCTCATTGTTTACATTACGTCATGACGCTTTCCAGGCAGGCACCACTTCCCGGCAGGCACGGATAACCGACAGCGATAAGCATTTCTTATCCATCACCCTAACCCTCTCTTCTTTCTCTACCCCTTTTCTTTACTTTTCCTCTTTTCTCTTAAACACCAAACAAAACACTCCCCTTTTCCTCTTTCTCTTTTCTTCTTTTCTCTTCCCTCCCCAACACAACACAACTTAATGCGCAAACCTAAAATCCAACCTCCGACTCCCCTGCACCTTGGTAGTCTCGATATACTCCGCCTTCTGCTCCTCCGTCAGCCCATTCCACACCTTATCCTTCTGCTTATTCCTCCACACATAATACGCCTTGGTGAACAGGAACACGCCGATCGCAATAAAGTTGATCACCACCAGCTTGGTGTTGCCATCATGATAATACGGCTTGTCGTAGTCCAGATAAATAAAGTTGGCGATCACGTTGCCGGTTTGGACGGACATGTTGTACAGCGCGGCCGAGACGGTGCGGGCGCCGACGTTGTTGGCGTTTTTGGAGGTCCATGCTACGAGGATTGCGTGGCAGTAGGGGTACGACAGGAGGACGGACATGAGCGCATAAGTTCCCCAGGGGTTGTCGATCAAGCCGGGCCAGAACTTGAGCGCTAGAATGCAGGGGAGTGTCCAGATGGATTGCAGCATGGCGACGAATGTTCGTTCTTGAAGCATGTCGGACAAGCGGGTGAGGAGGAGGAGGGTGATGATGTGGACGACGGACTGCGTCTTGTCAGCATTCTTTATCTCGACAAACCTGACTGACAACCTGCAAAAGAAAAGGAGGAAGCAGAACTCACCGAAGGAATAACCAGCAGATTCGTGTTAAACGCGCTAAACCCCAGCTTCCTCAGCGTCAAAGTCAAATAATAGTTCGGCGGCGTTTGCGGAATATACGCCACCAGCCCAATCGCATACAGCGGCCAGAGATCATAATCCTTCATGGTCTCCCACAGCCTCTTGGGCGTAATCGCCTCGCGGTTATGCATATCGCCCTTGGACGGATCGTCTCTCAGCACGCGGTTGACGACGATGGAGACTTCGCGGTCCGTGAACCAGCCGTTGGGGCGGAACCACGTCTTGGTCTGCACGGCCGAGGCCGGCATCATGAAGAAGGAGGCCAGGCCGATGCAGAGCGTGATCAAACCCTCAACGAGGAACATCCATTGCCAACCCGCCCAGCCGTTGATGCCGCGCATGTGCAGGAGGCCGAAGGCCATGAGCGAGGTGATGATGGAGGTGGTGGAGAGGGTGGTCCAGAAGTAGGAGAGGCGGATGGGAAGCTCGCGAGAGGTGTAGAAGTAGGAGAGCCAGAGGACGATGTCGGGGATGAAGCCGCCCTGGTGATAGTGTCAGTTCTGGCGACCTCCTTGGACGGGGAAGGTAAGGAGACATACCTCGATAAGACCCAACAAACAACGAGTAGCAAAGAAGCTGCCCCTTCCATTCAACGAGCACTGCGAGATGGCAACGACAGACCACAGCACAATCTGAATCGGGATCCAGCGATCGGGACCAAGTTTCTTCGACAGCAACTGAGACGGCAGCTCAGCGCAGAGGAACGACACAAGGAAGATGACGTTGCCGTAGTTGTAGTCTGTCACAGTGTCAGCCTCATTGTCTCATCCTTCAATCCTGTTCATCACCCCCCAACTCCCCAACCCCCAACCCATCCCTAGCAGATGTACTAACCATTAGTATCCAACCCCAAATCATCCAACATCCCATCCGCCAACGCCTGGCTCAGATTCCCCCGATCGACCTGCAGCGCAAAGAACATGACCATGGCCCACGCACAAGCCCGGAAATCAATCTTTCTAATAATCGCCTTCTCTTCTTCCTCCGTCCACGTCACTGTCGGATCAAATGCTCCCCTGCATTCATAGTCCGCTTCTTGGTAGACTTTCCGCCAGTGCTCGGCGACGACGGGGTCGAGGAAGGGGTTCTTTTTGAGGTCGTCGAATTCGGAGGCTTCGGAGAGGTCCACGGAGGTGGAAGATGAAGAGCTGGAGAGGTTGAGGTTGAGGTTCTTGGTGTCCGACTCCGGGGAGACAACGGTGCCGTAGGAGGAGGAGATGGGGGAGTCGGGGTTAAGAGTCCCGGAGCCAGAGCCGGAGCCCGAGCCTGGGTATGGTGGTGGTGGTGGTGGTTGTGACATGGCTGTAAGTCTGATCGTTGGATGTCTGTTCGTGTGGTATCGTTATAGGACGGAAGGTGAGATGAGATGAAAGGGTGGGTGTCGTTCTATTTTGATCCCAAGGGGAGCACACAAAGTCGGAAACCTGACCGATGACAGATCGGACTGCAGAGATCCTGAGATGGGATGGGATGGGATGAGATGAGATGAGACGAGACGAGACGAGAGGTGCCGTCAGGCTGGTTGATGTGTCAACCAGAAGTGAGGCTCAAGTGTCGAGAGAGATGTCGAAGATGATATGTCAATGGTTCATGCAGTCATTGTCTGACAACACCACAAGAAGATCCGAGACGAGATGAGACGACTTGGAAATGACAAAGTACATGCGAACATATTGTCTGGATAGCTGGGAAGGACTTATATACCTACAACGTGCTCTTGGGTTATTATGTACTCTATTCCCGCCTCTCTTCTTCCGTTCCCACCATTCAGAAGCTTTGAAGCAAAGAAAGTATGTGGATGAAATATCCTACCTTGATTGCGTGATGGTTTACCAGCCCGGTTGGCGGGTTGGCGGGTTGTCGCAAAGTTCACTTGGGAATGATGGGATGGGCACTAGGATAGGATTGGGGACAGCACCCGTCCGTCTGCTGCAGCTCAGCTGTTGAGGTTCGCCACTTTTCATTCTCTAGTCTATTCCGCGTTTACTGTTACCTGATAGTGTACCTTACCTATTGCCTGGAGAGCGCCCGGGCATGGGAAGAAAGCGTGGGGGAGTGGGGAGTTGGGAGGGAAGGGTAACAACCGAACCCCGGGGACCACTACCGGTAAGACGAACGTTGCCGTCACGTTGAAAGAAATTGGTCAATGGTATATCGCTGCAGGCTGCATGCTCAGGGCTCGGGGAGGTTGATAGGGGTCCGATTCAGTGAGAATGTCGTGATTCTCTGCGGTATGAGACGGACGTTTCGTTGGCTCGGAGCAACTAGACCATAGGGGATAGAGATCCCGCATCCCGGTCGATAGATAGTCAGTCTGGGGCTCAATATTCTAGACTCCAGTCCCGTCTGCTTGTTGATTTCAATGGTTTGATGCAGTACGTACCTACTCAGCGGGAGGAAGATGAGGGTGTTGTTTACGACGAGAGTGAAGAGACAAGCAACACTGCAGATAAAGGTGTTCAGGAGGCGTTACCTCCATCGTCATGAGGCGAAAAGCCAATACTGTATCAAACAAGCGGCCAAGCGTTCTTGCCATCTCTTGACGAAGTTTGTTGAACAAACCTAAAACTCGAACTCACTCGCTCCTTCCCGCCGATTCACAAGCCTTGACTTGGCAACCACGACGGGAATTCGCAGGCAATCACACCCACGCTCCCATGACGTTGACGCAACCCGTTCTCGTTACCACGTTGGAAGCTACGACCGTGAAACGCTATTGGGGCTATTATGTGAGCAAGCATGGCGAGGCACCTCATGGTGGTTAATGGTGCAATCAAATGGTTCCCTTTATGTCGATTTGTGTGGGAGGTAGTGAGAGGTTCGCCAGTGAGGTACGGTCTTGGGGGCTGTTCGTCAACCCCCTGGGGTATGGCACCATCACGACCCCGCTCGCTGGGTATCAGCCACAATAACACCCACGACAAGTCGACAACATTACGCGCGGGTTTGGCCAAAGGGCTTTGGAAAGAAAGACGTTTGTTTTATAAGAAGCTTCGAATGTGCGAAATGATTTCTTGAGAGTGATGTTTTACGGTGTTCCGACTCGAACTCTTGGGCAGCGCAAGTGTGCCAGCTACGTGCGACGCTCCTCAATTCGACACATCTCTGTCTTTGACTTTACCATAAATGAAATACATATCCTATCCTCCTTCTCACTCACTACTCTCCGCGGCTTCCTCTTCCTCCTGCCTCTCCTGCCTCTCATATCGCTTCCTAGCCTTCTTGAGCCTCTTCCTAAGCAACCGCATCGTCTCATCACAAAACTCTCGATCCTTCCGCTTCCTCAATCGCGACCTGTAATCCTGCCTCTCATCCTCTTGCGCCCCCCGCCCCAGCAAAGAATCCGAATCTCTCTGAAACATGTTGTCCACTCGTTCGTTCATCTCTCTCTCCTCCTTCGCACGCTTCTCCTCGAGTTCCCTCATCTTATCCGTCTTAGCCAGACGAGCGTTCTCATGCTCCGGGCCGTACTCGACCAGGACCTTGTAGGCGGGCCCGTTCAGCGACTTCATCATCTCTTGCATCTCCTCCTCCGCCTCGTTCTCCCGAATCTTTCTGGTCCGGAACGGCATGAGATAGTGCTTCAGGTCTGGTGGTCGGACCGTTGCGATGCTAACTTTGCCTTCGGCAACGGGTGGTCGATTCTCCCGGAATGTCTTGACCTGAGACTCGGCATCCTCTATCAGTATGTCCTCTAAGCCAGCATCAGAATTCATAGGACCAGGCTTTTCGGCTTCAGTAAACCGAGCGTTGCCCGACCATCTGGCAAACTCATTCTCATCATTTGGTCTCGTGCTCTCAAACCATCGTATCGCCTTGATGAGCTCATAGGAGTAAGGCCCGCCTTCGCTTTGCGCATAGGACGTCAAGCTGTAATCCTCGACATTGAACCAGTTCTTTTGGCCTTCTCTTGGGATGTCCTCTCCTCTTCTGTTTCTGTCTACTATGATCCGCCGCAACAGCTTCCCCATGGCATAGATATCCTGCCACGTGTCCGGCTCTTCCATTTGCCAGATTCGATCCCTGGGGCTCACGCCATATCTAGCCTCTTTGATGCGTTCCTTGGGTAACGACAGGCGGCCAAAGTGAATGATACCATTGTCGTGAGGCTGTTCACCTTTCCTTGCCGCGTTGTCAAAGTTGGTCAGCACCACTCGCGGAAGCCGGCCATCCACGCTCTCCTCGTACCCTTCCTCGCCCTCCTCCGGCCAATGCAGCATAATGTTGTCCATTGTCAACCATCGGTGGCAGACTGCCTGCCAGTTGCGGGGTATCCTTTTTCCGTCCTCCACCTTGATGCGTTCGTTCCCCTCGCGTTCAACGCCCCAGTGCAGATAGAGGAGGGCTCGCGCGAGCTGCTCTATGAGGTGCCAGATAAACGGTTCCTCGACGTACTGGCTACCGTGACCTCCCCTGTTGATACGCATGATTGCGTGCTCGAGCGAGCCGCCGTTCAAGTATTCGTAGTACAGAGAGGCGTTGTAAACTTCCTCTCTGACCTCGCCATCTCTCTCGACCATACCATGGTCCAGATTCCCATCCATCAGGTCGTGAGGAAAACCATAGGCGTACAATTTCTGGAAGTAGGGTTCATCAGGGAGGTGCAACTCGACACGCGGGTCGCGGCGGTCGCCAAGCCGAGCGAAGCGAATATCGCCAGGGATTGGGTGGGCGTACATCTGCAAACGCCATGGCAAGCGTTGTGCTAAGGTTTTCTTCCGATCACGGTATAAGGTCGCCAGGTGGGAACTCTTCAGGTACTTGCGTACGCGCTTGTTGATAAGTAATTCCTCGGTATGCAAGTCCTGGACAAGCAGGAGTCGGTTAAGAGGAGCAAGCTGTTTGATGAGGAGGAATCCTTTTGTATCGCCGCGTCCTCTCCGTGCCTGAAGCCACCTGTTGCTCTGGATTTGGTTATACACGTCAAGGTCATCCCATTCATTGCCTTGAGGGGCCGATTCCCAATGGGCGGCGGGGAAGAGGATGGACCAGTGGAACATATCCCCCGCTGGGGTGGCGCGCTGTGGTTCTGCTGATGCAGCAGCATCTCTTCTTCTTCTTCTTGGAGGCATGGTGAGGTTGGTGCTCTGCGTTGTTTCGGTCTGGAATTTGGGATAATGGAAGAGGTTACTGGAGCAAGCAGTTGTTGTCCATTTGCCTGGAGTTGACCTCGCGAAGCTTTATGTGCATCGTTCTTGTGCAGGCATTCTTTGTATCCTGCTATCCGCTTTCGGTGTCGAGGCGTTGAACCAACAAAGGGTGTTGGGTGGCACGTATTAACTGTAGTCACAATCAACAAAGGCAATCGGTACCAACCAAAATGATCAAACAACCTGCACGCGTTCCAGTCCGGCCAGCACCGAGTAAAGACAATTGCTTTCTTGGTCAGTAGCATCCATGGAAGACCAAGGGATAAATCGCACCCAGAGGGCCGAGTGCCGTCTGAGATGTGCCGAGCAGATGTGGCTTTGTACGACTCTCAACACTCAGACAGTGCGAGTTTGTTGTCGCATCGGTTCATACCAGCAGGATTTGCTGGCTTGACGAAAAAGCTTCTGCCCACTGCGTTGTCTCGGTGCCCTCCCCGTCCATCAGAGCATGGATGTAGCAAGTACCAAGTACCCGATAACCATGAATCCCATCATTTGTTTCCCGCAGCATCACAGGAACTTGTCCTCCTCTGAAAAGGGCAATGGTATCTCCAGGAGAAGTCTGGCGGGGCGCCAGCCCAGGCCTGCCAGATGCATCGACAAACGCACGTCTTCCGTAGATCTTCCAGGCACGACAATAGTCCCAAGACTCCGACAGCATCCAGCTTCTCTTCGTTTCTTCGCTTGTTTGAGCTTCTACGGGGGGCGCAACCCTCCCCAGAAGGACGTTGAAGCCGTGAATGTACCGCTCTGGGGTCTCCAGCTCTGCACGGGTCACTAGGCTAAAATCCGCCATGGGCACTCGCCAGATATTGTCCCTTGCAACTTCATCACTTTCACTCGCCAACTGCTGCAACTCTTCTAACCATGCACGACATGCGACCAGGTAATTCTCCTGTCCTGAGGCACTAGTGAACTCTGAACCAATGCGGACGACAGTAGACATCACTGCTCCCGGCAAGAAGAGGGCGAGCTTCGATTCTCCAATCACTGCAATCACCACCGTGCTATTCAAGGGCCAATGTGTTCCCTTTGTGGCCTCAAAGTGGAGCACGCCTCCAGGTCCATCAAGTTTGACACTGCCGATGGTCGGGCGTCGAGGTGCCGTCCAGTCAGGCACCCAAGAGGGAAGTCCCTCGTCTGCCCAACGAGCGGTCTCCCGATGATAGCATAGCACATCCGGGCCATATTCTTGTATCAAAGCTGTGGCGACGTGCGTGAGAACCGTGCTGACTGTTGTCTTGTCCGAGTAATCCACCGGGATCTTCTTCCTGTCACTCTCTCGTATGAGACCGAGCAACCCGTAGATGCGATCACGAGGATCAGTCGCCTGGATGGCCTTGTCCTCTCCATCCGCACAATCAGTGAACAGCAGAACCTCCATGAGCCGCATGCCATCCTTTCCTTCCCGCAGACTGAGCCTGTACACATTCGTGGCCTCCTCTAGATGCATGACACTGGGCATGATGTCCCCCAGCAACTCATACAGCCGCCGATACTTGGGATCAATATTCGAGTAAAGAATCATCCACTCAAACAACTGCAGCGCATCTTGAACATCCTCCCAGTCCACCACCACCCCCTCACCACTTCCACACGCCACCACCGCCTTGCGAGCCAGCACCACTTCCTGCACGATCCACAGCCGTCGCCAGTACGGCCGCTCACAGAAGAGCTGCCAAATACGCTCAAAGTCGAACCCCCCACTCTTGGCGTTCTCCTGTCCATAGTCCCGAGTTATGCTATACTGGAGCACAGTCCACACGAACCCCTGGGTAACCCTCCTTCTCTGGTCCTCCTCGCTAAGGCCCTCAAGCGCGCTTGGAAGCGGACCCTCCCGCTTCTTCTTCGCCTGCTCTCTGAACATGCTCCCCAGCCAGGCCACGGTCTTGAGCGTGCATCCACAGTCCCTATGCGGCCCTTCACCCGGACGGGGTAGCAAGCCTAGCCAGACGAACACCCGCGTAGCGCTAGTGTAGATTTGGCTCATAAGCGGGACCTGGAAGGCCTTTTCGTCGTTGTCGGCTTGGTTGATGCAGAGGGCGTCTATCCAGAAGCTTGTTTTGAAGTCATTGTCCTCGGGCTGCTGTTGCTGGGAGAGGAGGAAGCATAGAGCTGAGTGAAGATTGGGGGTAACGGTCATGGGGACGCCGTCGAGAAGGATCGTTGGAAGGGGCTCGTCGGGGTTCGGAATGCCCCAGACGTATGAGAGGGCCTGGAAGGGTGGCGCTGGTGTGGACGAGTAGGGCGCGGAGAGGGAGACATGGCTGAGGGAAAGGGAGATGACTGGCACAGAATCGGACTCTGGGGGTGCTTTTTGGGAGATGTCGAATGTGAGAAGCCGTATTTCCTGCGTAGCGCGATCGAGTGGTTTGTATGGAGATGCTGGGGCCATGTCAGCGATGTCGTGGCTCGTTGCCCCGCAATCAACGAGCGAGGAAGACCGGATGGGGGTTGAGTCGAGTGCTTCAAGTTCTGGAAAGCAGGTACAAACAAGATGTTGGAGTCAAAACACCCCAGTTTCAATTGCCTCGGGGAAACGTTAACGTCCCCCCTTCAACTCCGAAGACGAGCGCTCTTTCCAGATCACATAACCGCTTCATGTTGGGCGCTGAAGATGACAGGCAGCAACCTGGCGCGATTGCCTGCCAAGTCCACGGTAAGCACGCCCACTGCGCCTGCCGCCTGCCGACGGGATTCCATTAAACATTACCACGGGAACACCACGATAACGAATCTTTCTGTTTGCCACATCTTTTGGAGGATGAAAAAGAAAAAGAGAAACGAAAAGTCGTGAAAACGTTGGAGAGCACAGAGAGGTAAGAAGCACAATGAAAGGATGAAAAAATGGCAAAAAGATGGGGCTCAACCGGGATTTGAACCCGGGACCTCGCACATTCATGGATACCATGAGGGTTTAACCCGAAGCGCGAATCATACCACTAGACCATTGAGCCAGTTGTAATTGTTGAAATGTGAGCCTGTTTATGGACTTCATATTGCGCATTCACGCATCAGATAGGCGCAAATCCTTCTGCATGTTGATCCGTCATCTTTCGGCACTGCTGCATTTTCTCTTTTCATGTCGCGTGAAGCTTTTCGACATGCACCCCCATCCATTCCCCATCCCGCTCCTCTTCTCTCGGTTTTGAGCCCTCCCCTTTAAACTTTCGGCTCTCAAAACATATTCTGTTCTTGCTTATATCTTCCCCCTCCAGTACCAGGGTCATTCCTTGTCGTCTAAATGGTGCGCTCCACGATGACGTACGGAATCTGCCCGTCCTCTCGGTCGCGGACCAAAACCCAGGAATGTCGATGAAATCTCGCGAGTATCGACCATGGCTTTTGACATCCGCAAGGAGATGCTTCATCTTCGACAGCTCAATGCGAGTCTATTCATATAGATAGGGGCAAGCTTTGAAGCGATGTGCCTCTCCCGTGATGCGCGGCGGCTTTTCGGGGCGGGATCTCTTCAGAAGTGGCAGAAGCGGGTGCTCTCGGCATTCACTGCCAGACAGCATATCTTGGGAGACATCAACAAAAATCCGGAGAATATGCGACCAACCATTAAGAGTTCAAATCTTGTCGGGCAAAGCCTTTCTTTTTGAAAAGGCCGTTTCTTGATTCCCCACGAAAAAAAATTCCCCTGACCCTCGTAGAATTCCCCGGATCCACCAGATCTTCGCTCCCGTTTTGCGTCGTCTCCACGACCCCAGAGCCAAGAATTCAACGCCCCAAATGATGTACGCCCAGGACCATCCAAGCCATCTGCCGAAAACTTCTATGGATGGCGAACGCTCGATCCGCCTTGCTTCAAGCCTTCGTAGCACCTGACAGTATGATAGGTTCATGACCGTTGCGTGCTATCTGGTACATCCCGGCCGTTACGGGGAGTCGGGGACCGTTGTGATGGAGAGGACAGGGAGTGGCATGTGAATCCCGGCATCAATGACATCAACGTCATGTGGATATATATAAACCATCTACCCCATCACGGCCGTGCCACAGACACCGTCAACCGATCCCCCAAAAGCGACACCATCCACCTCCATCCAATCACCAACACCAACACAAACCACCACAACACCACCATCACCAACAAATCCATCAAAATGCTAGCCCGCCGCGGTGTAATAGCCGACCAGCTCTCCGATTCCCAGGTCCAAGGCGACACCCCGCAATCCGCAGAACGACGACCCGAGCCCCAAACCACCATCGAACCCAGCGGCACCCTAACCCCCTCCGGCTCCGAATCCGCGTCGGCAACCTCATCCTCCCCACACGATAACAAAGCCGCCCCCAGACAAGCCCAAGGAAAACACCACAACCACCACAACCACCACCAATGGGATAACTTACCGGGAATCACCTCAGAGGCCGAGGTTTTGCGGCAGATGCGGGAACAGGGCCAGGAGCAGCAGCAGAGCGGTAACAACAGGCGGCCAAAACACGAAGCGACGCTTGAAGGGCAGGTTGGGAGTACCTCACGACAAGGGGAAACCACAGGGAAGAAGCAAAGGGAGATCAGTCGGGGACGAGAGGGTAGTGCAGGGGAAAGTCACGGTTAGTCAAAACCTCACAGGACATTAAATGCCGAGAGAAATGTGCTGACCTTGAATGCAGCGGCCAATGTAGGAAGCTGGAGTCATTCAAGGGAAAGGAGGAGGAGTTCTTCTGCCTCATCGTCGGTGGGAGCAGGAGCAGGAGCAGGAGGAGGGGGAGGAGGAGCGACAAAGGGTTATGATCCGAATGATTACGACCGAGGAGCGTATGTGGAGACTAGTAGGGTTGGGTTGGAGTAAGTAGTCGTTCATCAATTTCGACTGTTGTTCAGTTCTTCAAAGAAGGTCCTTATTTTTTTGGTAAAAGTCAAGGGTAGTAGAACAACAACCCGGTAACTCCGACACCCTCCCATGCTACCTTCCATCTCCTACTCCTGCCTCAGAACCATCACCATGACCATCACTAGTATCACCGCCACCCTCGAACACCACCACCACCACCACCACCCCACCACCCCCCTTCCTCACTGCAAATTAACAAACAACCCCCCATCAACCAACACCTGCGCTCCCGTCACATACCCACTCAACTCCTCACTCGCCAAAAACACCGCCGGCCCGGCTACATCCGCCGGCCGTCCCAACCGTCCCAACGGTATCCGTCCCTCTATATACCTCCTCTTCTCCGCCGTTTCCCTCGTCCCCCCCTCCTCTGTTCCGGGTCTCAGATCCCCCTCATTCAACTGCGTCTCCACAGTGCCCGGTAGTATCGCATTACACCGAATCCCATACCTCCCCAGCGCACACGCCGTGCTCTGCATCAGACTCAGCACCCCGGCTTTCGTGGGGGTATAATGCGTCTGTCCTGCTCCTCCCACCAGCGCGGAGATGGATGATATACCGATTATGCTACCCCCTGGAGGTGTCTGGTGACGGGCCATCTGCCTCGCCGCAGCCTGGACCACGTAGAACGCCCCATCTAAATTGGTCCGTACCGTATTACTGAACAAGTCGGCATCCATATCCAGGAAATCCGCAAATTGGCAGATACCAGCGTTACTGACACAAACATCCAACCGCCCCGTCTTGAACTGCTCCAACGCAAACTTGACCAAAGCAGGACCAGTAGCGGGATCACGGACGTCTCCCGCCAGCAAGGCCAAGTCACCAATTGTTTTTTCGGAGTTAGGGGGCAGAGAGGACTTGAGGGCCGCGGCTTCGGCGATGAGGGAGTCGACGTGGGGACGGTCGCGGGGGAGGTCGAGGTGGTTGACGGCTACGGAACAGCCTTGGGCTAGAAAGGCGAGGGTGATGGCGCGGCCGATGCCGGTTGTGCCGCCGGTTATGATGGCGGTTTTGGAGGCTAGGAGGTTGGTTGCTGGCATCTTTTTTTGGGTGTGGTGTGGCTATGGGGGGGAAGATGGTTCCGTTGGGATGGGAGGAGGACGGGAGAGAGAGGGTGGTGGTGTTGGGTGTTGGCTTGATGGATGAGGTGTGAATCGTCAACGTCGGTTTGGTTTGGGGCCGTGGTAAAACAGTTTCGGATTTCTTTAAGAGTCCGGTGTAAACAAGGTGTGTCGCGATGGAGTGTTGTCCAGTAAAGCAAGAATCGATGAAGAGAAGGTCTCGGTGTAGTTTTCGTCAAGGTCACTTCAAGGACAAGCAATGATCACGGACAAGAGATGGTGTTGATTGTTGACGAGTTGCAATTCTCGCCCGCGTCAAGCTTGCCCGAGATTGACCATTGTCTATCAAATCTCTGCATCATCTGATCACCAGTAACCCATCCAATTAGTCCGACTGGAAGTCATCAGTCATCACAGGCTGAAGAGCGGATGGTGTTCGAAAGCGATGTTGAAGAGGGGAAGAGGGGAAGCAAGGAATAAAGTGGGACTCGATCCCAACTTGACCCACTATGGCGGGGCCGAGACCAGATTCCCCCGCTGTACCTCGGGGGGGGATTACAGCGAGGTTGGCGAGGTCAATGGAGTTTTACAGAGCTGAAAAGTGTGCGAGGTCCGAACCTTAATAGGCCACTTAGAGAGGCTCTTGTCGTTACAATATAACACCAGTACATTCCGTGTGCAGGAGATTGCAGTTTAACGCCACCCTCCCGTATACTATTAATTAACGTACACAGTTCTTTCACTATCACTAGGGCACACCCAAACTATATTTATACCTATACATATGTATAAGGAGGTTATATTAGGGCGTACCATGCTAATACTAGTCGTAATATTTTTCAATTACCAAAAACCCTAACCCTAATATTATATACGGCTAGAACTCCGAGAAAAGCATTACATTTTTATATACTAAATATATTATCCTATATATCCTACAATATCTTTTTACACAATATAGATCTATTATTCAAACATTTCAAAGTAGGTAAAACGAACCTTCCAAATCCAGGAAAAAACTTTTCTTTCCGAATAGAAAAAGAATTTATCCCAATGTTTTTATTATAATATAAGTATATACTTCATAATCTATAGATAAATAAAGACATTTCCAAATACTTTTAAATACTTTTAGATACTTCTAAATACCTCTAAATAAATAAAGATATTTCCAAATACTTCCCAAATATCCTCCGATATTGTAACGGGTCTGCACGAGTTAAGCACAACGAGCAGTCGTAAGGTTAAAATGCTATATTTAACAAAGAGAGTAAGAAGGAAGACTGTACCAGAAGGGTGCAGTTGAGACAAGATTTTAAGGTTGAGCACACGGGCTAGGCAGTCATATGGGTCTAGCCAACCAGAAGGCTCGCATTGGCTTATCAGCTTATCGAGCCTGTAGGGATCCGACTTGGCAAAGCCAAGCCATTACCCTGGGCACTAGCCCCATAACAAATATAACCTATACTTTCTAAAAATCCTCTATATAATTACTATAATAATTATTAGGGATAATAAGCATTTTAATTACTCTAAATAGGTAAAAACAAATAAATCAAAGCTAAATGTTGGATAAGAAGGGTTTCCGAAGTATAATTGCTAATAAAATAATTAATATTCAATTTTATAATACATATTGGCGGAAAAAAAATCGAAATATGATTCAAAATATCTCTTAATAATATTCTACATTCCTCCCTTTTATTATAATAATTCTTATATATTAAATAATATTAAATACTATTCTAATATTAAATTAAAAATCTAAAGTATAAGTAAATAATTTAGGGAGGTAATTTAATAATTACTATACCTTATGTATAATTTTTAAATAGATATTAGCTCCGGATATATTACGGGAAATAAATAGGATTTAGATACATATTATGAATTAAATAGTCCTATAGGAATTATATAAATTAGGAAAGGGGAGGGAATATTAGAAATTTATTGGAGAAGTAAAAAAGGAATAAAATAAATCCAACTTTTACTAGAATTATATTAAAGTATTTAATTAGTATACTAACGGGGAGGGTAAATTCAGCGGGCGGTAAGAAGAGAAAAAAAAAAGGAGGGGTAAATAAAAAAGGAGAAGGTTTATTATAAGAGGAAGAAGTAAAGCAGCGGCAACGGAGTACAGGAGAGTATAAAGGTTCTACGAGGTATACACGCAAGTAGGCCTTAATAAAGCGGTAATATTCGACGAGGGAGTAAGAGAGAGGCGTGCGCTAGAGGCGTACCTTCAAAACGGATAGCTAAATATAGGTGTGGTATCGAAGATGCTAGAAATACTAAGCTCCTAAAGTAGTTTGTATTAGAATATACCTAATAGGGTATAATATAGGCTAAGCTAAGCCGGCTAATTGCAGTAGGTGCAGCCAACTAGAAGGCTCGCATTAGGCCTGGCCTAGCGCACAGGCCAGGCAAACACCTCTGGGCGCTAGCCCTATGATAGAGAGGGAGAAAGAAGCAGATTAGGCTGGTCGGGGAAATGATTCGAAGGGAAGAGAAAATTCGAACTAGGCGGGGAATTAGCTGGTAGAATTTAGGATTCTTTATTTTTATTTAAAATCGTATTATTCTATATATTGAAGGGGTTTTCTTCGTCGACTAGGGTAGGAGGGGGAGGACGCTTAGGCTAAATAAAAATAAATATTAATAAATAGAAATACTAAAACTTCCGAAAAGGGGTAATTATATAATAGGGTAGGTATATACTTTTTTTATAATTTTATAACTAATTTCGATATCGATAACGACTTTCATTTTACTGAACTCCTTTAATAATATAATAAAAAAACTATAACTGACAAATTCGAATTCGTTATTAAAGCTTTAAATAAAGAAATTATAATGAATTTATTTATAATATATTTTATTCGTCTTCTAAGTAGTAAAACTAATATTGATAAAACCTTTATCGATAATTTTTTTATTATATTCGATATTAGACTCCTTATTTTAAAGAATAAAAAATATAAAGATAAGATTGAGGTAAATACTTTTAATTTAGCGCTAACACTATTTATTCTTCGTTATTATTATATTATAATTAATAATCTTACGGATATTATAAGAGACTATTTTAAAACTTTAACCTGTAAGAAATTTTAATAATTCCCTTTTTAATTTATTATTATTATTTTTGTTACCTTCTATAATTATAGTAATAAAGTCTGGGTAGGAGCGGGCAATTTCGATAGTAAAGCTTTTTTAAAATATTAAAAATATTAATTTTAAAGAGATCTACGGGAAAAAAATAGGAAAAGAATAAGAAAAAATATTTCATATAGTTATAGCGCTAAATAATATTAGACTTATTAATATTAAAGCGCTAGGTAATTATTTTACGGAATAAGAAAAACTTCTTTAAATTAAAGAAAATAGATAGATAGACTTTTTTAATATAAAAGTTAGAAAAATAATTATTGTACTAAATAAATAATAATAAATTAGCAAATTCGGTAAATTAACGTTTTTCTTCCGTAATAATATTAATATTAGGAGGTTCGTTAATTTTATCAATATTATTAAATTTATCGATAGTATTAGTAGTAAATTAATTAGCGTTAGCAGTTTATGCTTTTCTAGTCATTTTATTTTAGTATAAAGTAGTAGGGGGGTTAAATCGGAACTTAATTAAATTTTTCCAGTTAGGAATATATTCGATATTTAAAATAATAGTAAAATTAATAATATTATATATTAGCGGTTATTCGTTTACCATAATACTAGTCGGGGTTCCTGGTATTTATATATTCTATATAAGCGCGAATTTATATTAACCGAACTGGAATTAATTAAATTAACTATTATTCGAAAGAATTTTAGTAAGTTCTACTATTTAGGTTTAGTTTATTATTATACCAGGTTTATTAATATTAAATTAATTAAGTACGAATATAGGATTAATAGATCTGGATATAATAGTGCCGGTTTAAAATTACACTTAGATATTGGAAGACGTATTTTGGACGTTGGAAAATAAATTGAAATTAAATAGTATTATATCCAATATAGCTGATAAATTTTGATACTAAAATATAGTAGAAATATAGTTAATTTTAAGACTTCCAGTATTATTAGTATTGAGGACGTTTAAAGACGATGGAGGACCATAGAGAAGTTAATTAACTATAGAACTTTAAGAAACCCGAGGAATAACCTTTAGGTTAGTAAAAGGGTTGAGATAGGTTATAGTATTTCCCGGAGGAGTAATACTTTACTATATCTATTGAAAGAATTAGTATTAAACCTATATTTACTATAATAAATTATTAGTTTCAATATATATCAAATAATTTCTAATAATATTCGATGTTATGAATATAACCGTATAATAATTATAATATATTATTATATTAATATTAAGGTAGCTAATTTAATAAATAAACCAGTAGCATTTCGGGAAAAAGATAAAATATAAATAATAAGGATTTAAATTTACTTCGGGAATAAATTAGAGAATAGCAGGTTACCCGGTCCGAACGAAGGAGGAGGAAAATATTAAGAAATGCGGCCGAAATTTTCTTAAATTCTAATTAAAATTTTATTTTAACCGGTTTTTTCTTCACTGGCTTCTTTAGCAGTACTAACTTCGTCAGTACATTAGTACTTATTATTAATCGTAGAAGTAGAATTTTCGGCCTTACTACCATTATTATTAATATTATTAGTAATTTCCGGTATAGCGCGACCTTTTGGCTTCTTAATAGCGGGGTATTTTGTAGTCTCATTTACTCAGCCACCTACGCATAGCCCTTGCGTTTCTCTTTGTACCTACGGGTCCAAATAGTTGTGACATCCCTACTACACTCACCCACCTACTAATCCTAATGTTATACTATTTAGACCTACAAGATAAAGAGACGCGGCTATACTACAGTCTAAGCTTAATATAGATAGAAAAGTCCATTATACGCACACTAATTATATATCCCCAACTTATCCTATATATTATCGTACTACCTAACGTAATTATATACCTTATATGTACGCTCTATACGTATATTCGATACTATATACTTATTAATCCTATTATTTCTTCCCTCTTTTCCCATTCTTTTTAATATTAATAATATATTTATATTTTTTTAACTATATTGGGTAATTTAATTAATTTCTATACTTATATCTCCTTTATTTATATCCTAATTACTATATATTAACCCCTATTAAAAATCTTCTAACAAATTTTCTAATAAACCCTTTATATTTAGGGTAAATATTTTGGGTATAAAGCCCCTTTTTAAGGCTTCTAGAGTAAATACTAATCGAATAAATACTTCGAGTAACGATTCTAATATTTCTAACCTTATTTAAAAACTATTTGAATATATTAATATTTTTATTAAAGATTATTATTGGACGAATTTGTAGTAATACCTAATTTACCTTTAGATCTATTGAATAATTAAACATCCTAGCGGTATAGTAAATATTTTAGTACGTTTATTAATACTTTTAGGGAATTTATTATACGTAAAGTATTTTCGAATACTAGTATTTATTTATATTTCGAACGGAATAATATTAACCTTCCTTCTAACGAACTTACTATTTAATTTCAAATAAACGAATAGGTAACGGAAAAATGGAAATTACTTCAAATATATTTCTAAATTTCCTTCTACGTAGAATTTAAATCGCTCTTACGGGAATTGAAAATAGTAGGGGTATTTATATTATTCCTTATTAATAAATTCGTTAGTAATATTTTTATTCTTAAAGACGTCTCTAATATTATATAGCTTCGCTTTCGTCTTCGTTCTATATATAGAACTTTAATAAGAATTGCCCCTGAATTAATGGAATTATCTATTGCACTATATATACAATAATGCGTATTATAATCCCTACTTTAAATATATTATCTAATAATTACAATCTTTAAATTCGATATTCCTTCTATTTCTTATATCCACTTTACCCACACTATACAATAAATTCCTTACCCCTTTACCTCTTTCGCTTATATATTAACTAATTTCTTATATTTATAAAAATCCTCTAATTTTAATTTAGCGATATTAATAATAAAATATGATTAATACGTAGCGGTATAAATATTTAGTTAGGCCGGGGTATAAATAACTTGTATTAAATATTAGTATTTAGTAATATTTATTCTTAAAGTTTTATATATAGTTTCAATACTATTAATCGTATTATATCGCCAATTAACAGTATAGTAAATTAACGGTAATAAAAAGTAAATTATTCCTAAAAAAATAGAGAAAGTCTTTTCGCACCGCTATGATTGTCTTTAGATACCGCTATTCAAAATGCGTTCCAAAGTAACTCTACCAAACTAAGACCTTATAATTCATAAAGGGGCTCGGAATTTTTATCTCTTTTACTCTACCAAACGCTACTCATATTATAATTACACACCCTCTATAGCGTTAGTAATATAAAGAACATTAAAGAAACGTTTAATTAACTTTTAATATTAAACTTTTGCTCCCACCGCGGGAGTATAAAGAGGTATGAGAGGGATGTTGCCTTAAGAATATGAAATAAAAATTAATAGATTTTCTGCCCCTACTATTGTATTCGTAGACCTAAGTTTAGCCAAGTTATACTTAGTTCAATTTTGGATAGCGGTGTCTGAAGACAATCATGGTGGTGCGAAAAGACTTTCTCAAAAAATATACGTCCGTATATGATCCTAACTATACTTAGTAGGTATACGGGTCTAAGTGCGCAGTTAATTTCTAATACGAATTGGTATTTAATAGTATTTAGTACTCTACAAGTATGAAATTAATATCCTGATATAATATCTATAGTATCTCTATTATCCGTTAGTACAATATAGTATAACCCCTTATATAAATATATTATTTATATTAATATACCTATATTGCAAAGTGCGAAATCGTATAATACCGTAGGCTATCCTTTTTAATACTACAACCAAATTGAGAACGCATTACCCCTACCATGAACGCACATATGCAGCACGACGCCCGCTTACGAACTTACTAAGGAACAGCAAAGCTGCCGTAGAGGTTCTCACGATGACGTCAGTGCTGTGCCCCGAGTGCAAAACATGATCGGATCAAATTGTTTTGGGTTTCACATGTTTCATAAGGTAAACGGATGAAATATTAATCCTCGATATCATTTGAGACAAAACTTCATAAACCCATCAAAATACATGATTCTTCTACACAACTCTACGAACTCGTAAGCTCCTGGACCTTCGCCACAAGCCCATCAACTACCCCCTCAGGCTTCTCCTTCTTCTCCTCCGTCACCCCCGGCGCTGGCGCCGGCTTTGTCTCCTCAGCACCCGTCACATCCGAGTTAGCATCCGCAGGCGTCAACGATGCCGCAGGCGGTGGTATAAGCAAATAAGCACTGGGAATCAACTTCGCCCTCGCCACGGGGTTCAGTGTTAATCCAAAGCCCGGCTTATCCAAATCCGCCGTCGTTAAGAATCCCTTGGTCGGGATCGGCTCATCCAAGAACAAATCGCCAAATACCGGCAGCACACTCTTTCCGTCGGGCGAGTTGGCCAAATACTCCTGGAACGGCGTGTTCGGCTGGCTCATGACAAAGTGGTAGCTATACGGTCCACTAGCGTGCGGGACAACGGGGATGTCGTAAGCGGCCGCCATGGCAGCCACGCGGAGCAACTCGGTCATGCCGCCGAGCCACATCACATCCGGCTGGATAATATCCAGGTTCCTGCCCTCGATAAGCTTGCGGAACCCGTAGCGAGAGTACTCGTGCTCGCCCGTGGTGAACTTGACGGTGGGGTGGGCGCGCTTGATCTGCTCGAAGCCGTCCGTGTCGTCCGGGCTCAGACACTCCTCCCACCAGTTGATGTTGAGGTCCTTGGTCTTCTCAACGATCTCGATCGTGTACGACACGTTGAGCGACATGTAGCAGTCCACCATCAGGGGGAAATCTGGGCCGACGGCCTCGCGGTGCTTGCGGAGGAACTCAATGTTCTTTTGCAGGCCGACGTGCCCTTCCTCCGGGCAGTAGGGGAGCGGCACCTTGGCGCCCCAGAAGCCCATCTCCTTGGCGGCCGGCGGGGCGGGGCCGGTGCAGTAGAAGTTGAGACGCTCCTTGGTGGCACCGCCAATCATCTTGTAGACGGGCTCGTTGCGGATCTTGCCCAGGAGATCCCAGAGGGCGAGGTCGATGACCGAGATGACGGCGACGGGAAGACCCTTGCGGCCGTAGAACATGGAGGCGCGGTACATTTGCTCGAAGAGGTGGTTGGTGTTTCGGGGGTCGGCGCCGATGAGGAAACGTTCGAAGTGTTGGTGGACGAGCCAGCATGCCGGGGGACCTGTTTTTGTGGTGCCGTTAGCTTGCATCTTGTGTGAATCTGGAATTTGAACATACCTCCAAAGCCGGTTGCGAATCCGACGGTGCCATCGGTGGCCTCGATCTCAACAAAGAAGGAGCCCAGGACATTGATGCCCCAGCTTGTACGGGAAGCCCGATACTTTTCCCATTGTGAGCATGGCGTCGAGATGGGAGAGTCGATTAGCCTGTGTCGTTAATGTCCAGTTCTAAGTATATCCTTGGTGAGTAGAAGTCATACCAATGGCCGCCCTTGACATTGTGGTAATCACCACCCGAGCCAACGCCGCCGATCACAAAAGATCGTATGCTCTTGATGGTAGGAAACTGTCTTGCTGTCGCCATTGTATTTGTGAGTCTTGGGGAAGGAAAGACCTGAAGACAGGAAGAGCACGGGGAGCAAGAGGTCCATGTATAGTAGGTATCTGAGCCAGTGATAGTTCTTGCCTCGGCTTTTTCCAACACCGGAAGCACGAGGGACGACGATCAGCAACCTTCACAGCAATAACCGGGCATCGATGTGGGCCACCGGTCGGGTGGTGATGTCCCGACGACGAACAGATCATTGAGCTTGGCGACCTTGCAGATCACGCATGGGACTTTGGAGATCTCTCGCTGTCCTTTCCCTCGGGGTTCGGGGTTGAGCAGCCACCAACCCCGCCTCGACTTTCCAACGGTGGCCGCATCAACGGTCGCTGGAGGAAGTACCGGCAGATAGGGAAGCCTATAAGCCTTACATTGGCTTGAATTCATGTTTTCAAGGAAGTCTCATGTTATATGATCCAGACGACCAGTTCATCCCTCACTTTGGCCATGGACATTGGGTTTCCAAAATGACAACCATCTGCCCTAACCCCATCTCTTCGGCAGCAATGACCCTAGAGTCTCTTGGGCTTGCATCACCACTCGTTCAAGCTCTTGATCTTGTTGGCTTTCACTTGGTCTTTGCCGTGTCCCAGTATCGCGGTTCGCTCTCGGAAGTGTCCTGCCCCTCCACCTCACATTTACGAATTTGCCGAGTTTCATGGATGGTGGCCAAGAAACGTCTCGGTGCAGTACCATCCGCATCTTCTTTAACCTTGCGAGACTAAAGGACTTGGTCGCCAAGACCACTTTTGGACCAATGATGTGTTATGGTCGCTAACAATTTTGGTTGGCTTTACAACAAATACCTACAATCGACGTGGACGGGACACGTTCTGAAAAGGATATCTTGTACGATCTTGAAGCTGGCGACAAAGTCCGTTAGTGTCGGTCCAAGAGATACACCCGCGGGAATGTCCGTGAGTTGTTCTTGAACAGAAGGCGTGTTTAGGGGCTCAGTGTGTACAGCGGACCTTATCCCGAGATGCAGTGTGCATATACAAGTTACGGAAGTTGAGCACATGATGCATTGAAGAGAACACGTTCCTGTCATGTCGGTGGTTGCCGAACAGGTCTATCCGAGGCCGGATTTCGGAGGTACCTAGGCCCTTATATAGACCTGGCAAATGCCCGCTTATCCCCTTTTGGAATTCCATTTTTCCTCGGCCGTCAATCTGTTCCAGTCTCGTTCCTCTGCTCAACATCAGCCCGAACTTTTACAAGTCAATGCTGGCTTGAATGCTGGCCTGTTGGAGGTGGTTAGCTTGAGCATTGTGAGCTCTCTGACAGGGGCCAGGAAAGAAAGCCTCTCAGGCACTCCCATTGGCCCAACACTCCAACCCTGAAGTCCGTTAGCTCGGGACCTTGTCTGCGCACCACTCTACGCAGCTCAACCATCACTCCATCAAGAACCCCACTAACAGATACACCACAGATGAAGAGCCCTTGGCCAGTACCAACCGATGAATGGAAGTAACTACCGACATGGCTCCCTCCAAGGAGTGGCTCGATGTAGTCGTTCACAGGGAAGTTGCAAAGGAAGGTTCGTTTCCCTAGTGAATTCGTCTTTCCCATTGATTTCTCCAAGTAGACAACCAAAAACAGCTAGCCCCGGAAGTCGTTTAAATTTAACCATCCTTTTCTCCCACCGAAGCATGTACCTACTCAATACTTCCCACACTTGTATCCAATAGAGGTATCCATCGATCCCTTCGGTTGTTAGATCCCGTCCAGTGAGGAGCTGCAAACAAGAGCGCACTGACTCCGACACAGCCCCAGAGCCCACAGGGCATTCCATCTCACAAGCAGCTCCACAAACATCCGCTGCTTTTCATCCCGAACATCCTCCCCGCTCGGTCACCATCACGCCGAGCAGAGCAGCACCCAGAACCCGACGCGGCAACAACAACGCTCGGCCCAGATTGGCCGTCAATTCTCATACAGGTATCGGATCGCTGACCAGCGCGATGCAGTCCCAGCCTGCTGCTGCTGCTGCTTCAGGCTCCAGATACAGCGGGCAACAGTATCATCAAGCGGCAGGACCGTCACGACCGCCATTGCCAGCTCCATTCCAGGGGCAGCAGCATGACCAGCCAAATCCCTCCGTCTATAGCGACGACGGCCAGCAGAGCGGCGACGACGACGAGAATGACCACGGTAACGACCAAGTGCTTCCCAATGGCAAGCGAAAGAGACCCCTTTCTGTTTCGTAAGTCCATTTTGTTTTTTTCTCCTTTCTGTTCGCCTCGACAGCCTCCACCATGGTCTCGTCATGTTGTCTGTTAATGCAACCATGCATTACACGCGTTGTGGATAACACTCGGTACCGTCCTGGCATGGTCACCGACAGCAACCACATCCATCACCTGCGCGTCGGGCTTTTCATACCTTGTGTACTTTACTTCCAATTTAGACTGTTACGTTATTGGGACATGGAACTGACTGGAGATTACAAGTTGTGAAACTTGCAAAACTCGAAAGGTTCGCCTGATCTTCCCATTGCGTCTCTCCGCCTCACAGCATTTCCCCGTCTCGTCAAAACTAATGCTGAACTAGGTAAAATGCGACCGTGGCCAACCAGCCTGCGGGTGGTGTAGCAGAAACGCAGTTGCATGCGAGTACAAAGAACGAAAGAAGCCCGGCCTCAGAGCAGGCTATGGCCGCGAGTTAGAGCAGCGTCTCGACAATCTCGAAGGGGAACTCAGAAGACACGCCGAGATCCTTGCGGCACATGGACTCGATGTCAACAGCCCTGCTACCGCCAGCAACAATGCCAACAACAGAAATAACCATGCGCCATCAGGCCATCGGAGCAATCCAAGCCTGCAGAGCAACGACCATGGCACACCGCGCGATACCGGGCCGCCTCCGGTTTTCGCTTACGCCGGCCCAGATTCAGCTGAGAGGGCTCTCTTCATGCAGCACAAACCCTCGACTTCAGCCGATTTTGGTCTGGGCCCTCGCACTCCAGCGGGCGTCCATGACAACTTCCAGCACGTGGCAACTACTCAGCCTCATGTACAGCCGGCCATAACCCCTAGTGCGGCCGTCCAAGAGTACTATGGCGCCCCCAGAGCCGTCCCCCATCAGATAGCTGGCCCGTCGCTAACAGCCATTTTGCCGGCCACGCAAGGACAAGGAGGCACTGAACAGGAGCTTCCGCCGTATACCGTTTGTTACGCCCTCATGGAGCTATACTTCAAACACATCCACCCATGGTGTCCAATCCTGGACCGTGAGACGACGAAAGATCTCTTTTTTGGGGAAAGAATCCCGAATGAGGAAGAAAAGATCTTACTGCATGCCATTGTTGCTACAGCCATGAGATTCGCAACGAAAAAAATGCTGCCCAAGGAAAGTCAGCAGCGTTTCTACACCGCGTCTAAACAGCGTGTTTTACTATATGGAATGGAGCATTCGTCCGTCATGTCGCTGCAAGCTCTGGTGATCCTTGCGCTGGATCTATGCGGTAGTAGCAACGGGCCCCCAGGATGGAACATCATGGCTCTCATCACTCGAGGGGTGGTGCAGCTTGGTTTGGCCGTGGAGACGAATTCTATGACGGTTTCTCCAAGCTATCCCTCAATCTACACTCTTCGCGCCATGGTCCTTCCAGAACCCCTCGACTTCACAGAGGAGGAGTCCCGAAGAAGGTTGTTCTGGATGGTATATGTGCTCGATCGTTACGCCACCATCTCCACGGCGTTTGACTTTGCGCTCGATGACAAGGAAATCGACCGGACCCTCCCATGCCGCGACGAGCTGTGGATCAAGAACCATAAAGTTGAGACTCGATGGTTCCACGCCGCTGACGACGATAGCCGGCTCAACAGCAACAACTCGGCCGACTACCAAGTCAACAAGCCCGAGAATCTCGGCGCCTTCAGCTACTACATCGAAATCCTGGGTATCCTCTCCAAGATCCACAAGTTCCTCAAGCAGCCCGTCGATATCTCGTCTCTCACCGACGTTGAAAATTGGCAGCGCCGCTACCGAGAACTCGACACCATGCTCAAGGTGTGGAAATTCGAACTCCCCGATGACTACAACCACATGGCCAAGATCTATGACCAACCCAGGGTTGCCCGTACTTTGAGCTGCGCCTGGATCATGCTCCACGCCACCTACCACACCGCCATCATTCGTCTGCATTCATCAGCCGCATATCCCACCGTCCGTTCGCCCATCTTTTCTCCTTCCTACATGGCCTCCCAAACCTGCCGCGACGCAGTCAACAACGTCCTCGCCCTGGGCAAATTCGTCGTCGAATACAACTTGCTCTCCACACTCGGCCCGCCCTTTGCGTTCACGCTCTGGGTCGCTGCCCGCGTTCTACTGGTCCACGGCAGCACCGTTGAGCACAGCCTCAACCCGGAAATCAAATTCTTCGTCGACACCCTGCGCGAAATGGGTGAGTACTGGCCCGTAGCCACGCGCTACTCCAATCTCTTGACGCGCGTGCTAGACGAATACAAGGCCAGCGTGAGCGAGGGTGACGAGGTGACGCCGAGTAGCGTGCGGATCCTGGCGGACATGCGACGAACCGCATTCGATTTGGACTTGTTGATTAGTCGCCAGCCTAGGCATGGCTCGAGGCAACATGGAGCTTTGACCACCGCGGGCGGAAGCAATGTGATGAGCGCAGGCGTCATGGTGCCTACCATCAACAACGCCAACGGGCACTTTGCTATGGGAGCAGGAGGAGGAGGAGCAGGAGGAGGAGTTAACGATCTGGAATATTTCGATGTCTTTGACTTCTTCAACATGCCCAGGTTCCCTCTGTCAGCCATTGCCCCAGGACAGAATGCCGGCGGGACCGAAACGAACCAGAACCACGGCGCGGACCAGGTGCATGGTATGTCAGGCACTGGCGGAAGACGACTAATTGACAATAGCGAGGGTAGTAGCAAGCAGCCAGGGCAAGGGATGAGCAACGATATCATCCATGGCCCGGCACTGGGAGGAGGATCGGCACAGGGAGTGGGGGAGTTCAATATCATAGATTTTATGGTGCATCCAGAGCGCGATTGGCTTGGAAACTCTCGCGGTTCTTCTTGGGTCGATGCCACCGGATCTGGATCTGGATCTGGATCTGGAGCATCTGGAGTTGGAGGAAGGCCTGAACAGGGGGTTGCCGCTACTGGCTCTAGGACTAGAACTGGGAGTGGGAGTGTGGAGGGTGCTGGGGCTACTCATCAGGGCTAGAAGCCTCCCCAGACCCCCCAATCCGATCAAAGGGGAAGACTGCCTTCGATTCAATCCCTGTTGAGTATGAGTGGAGCTGGAGCTGAGGATGATGCTGTTAGAACCCCAGGAACAAGAACAGGTGACCGCCCTTCAGATCACTACTTTCAGGAAAGAATGGGGTATTATTTTCAGGGTTCTTCGGTCGCTGCCACTGGATCTGGATCCGGAGCAGCTGGAGTTGGAGGAAGATCTGAATGGAGGACTCCTGGCCCTGCTACTGACCATGGGACTAGGACTGGGACTCCGAGATGGGCTGGGACTGGGAGTGGGAGCGGAGCTGGGGCTGGAGCTGGGGCTGGAACTTGGGATGATGCTGCCGTAACACCCAGAACAAGCACAGGTGACCGCAGTTCAGATTATCACTTTTCGGAAGGATAAACTGTGAGACGGCGAGAAGAACGGGGGGCGGCTGAGATCGGCTGAGATCATGTCAGGGACGTCGTCTTGGAGCAAGAATCTGACGGAAGGGCCTTCTTGCTCTTCTTCTTCTTTGGGTGGGAGTTTGGGATTGGGTATGGTGTGTTTCTGGAAGGCATGATCGATCGTTGGAATCTCTGAAGCTGCCGCTGAACTGAGCGTCTGCTCATTATTGGCTATGCAACAATGTCTAGGTGGGCTAGGCGCGTGTTCGTGGATATACAGCGCGACCATACACGAAGGAAAAGGTTTATCGTGGAATATTTAGCAGGCACAGCCATTAGCTTTGCTTGTTATAGATATGAAATAGCGTAAGGTGGTATGAGCAACGAAGGAATAGCGGGTTTTTGAAGTAATAAATGTTTTGAGTATCTGATCCAATCCGAAAGGTCTAACATTTTTTCAGGGTATTGAGTTGTTCCGTTCTCAATGTGCCCGTCTTTTAACTATCATGCCCTTTAAGCTGTGTGAAACGAAAATGTATTATGCGATGACGGCATCGCGTTACTTGATGGCCTGTGAACTTTGCCAAATCGATGACGGATTGCATGAGGTGCTACGAGTGCCACGGTAGTGATGGTTCACGGTACACAAGATCTTTTTGTTGGTGTTCCATGGGATCGGGGGAAGAATGCTGTGATTCAGGTAGCAACCAGGTGCCAGGGCGGCGTGGAGTTTCAGTGTTCAGAAGAAATGAATTCGAATGCCCAAAGTGAAGAAGAGATCGTGAAAACAGAACTGAATAAATGTCATTGAAGAAAAAAAAAAAAAGGAAAAAAAAAAAAAAAAAGAGGTTATCACCATCTCATCTCACCCGACAGCCAGGGCAACAAGGGACGGATCGCCGGAACCGCCCGTCCGTCGGTCAAGGATCAATCAGTCCAATGTGGAGATTTTCGTCGCATGCACAAATGTCAATGTTCAATGTTCGGGGAAAAGAAAACCATGGATGCTCCATGTTTGGGCGGGCCAGATAAATCCACTGTATCAACCGGTTATACCCACGGTGTACATGAAGCCCGACTTATGTCGAAGTCTTCCAGTGACCACGCAACGCAAAATAGAGAGCAAAAGAGGATAAAGACCGCTGGCTTCTTATGTAAAGATCTTCCGAAGGCTTAGGAGTTTGGAAGCGCATTCAGTGGCTTTGGGAAGGAAAAGATCAGAGCTGTTCCGTCATACTAATTGCCGTCTTCTTCAAGTGCAAGCCGGTACGTGGCCGGGTTGACTTTTCGTAATGCGTATTCGTTATTGACCTCCCAAATTTGCGATTTGAATTCGCAAGTTGAGCTTCAACGCTCGAAATGGGTAATCAATCACTTAAGATTTAGGAATGGTAATAGTAATTTGACAATTTCTAACTTCACGATACCGGGCGAAAGTATCTTGGTAGACATGGTTCGTGCCACTTGGTGTTTTTGCTACAGTTTTGGTATGGGGACCGTAGATATAAGACTGCGTTTGTTCTGGTACGGTTTTCGTACAAAAGGCCTCATATGACCTTTTTTATACTCAAAAAGGCGGCCAATTCACTCACTGTTCTGAGTTGAGTTGTGACTCGCCTTGGGGGTCTCGAATTGAGTTTAGTTGGGTTGAGTTAAGTCGAGTTGGTTGAGTAAGTTGAGTTATTCCAAACGCTGTACGAAACCCGTACGAGAACAAACGCAGCCTAACTAAAACATACAGTGGGTTTATCCAGCCCGGATTTTCGTCGCATGCACAATGTCGATGTCAATGTTCGGGGAAAGAAATCCATGGATGCTCCATGTTTGGGCCCGTCCGCGGGCATGAGCGGGCATGAGGTCACAGGCTCACGGGCGAGACAAAATGTCCACCAGATTAATGAGATAATATTGCCTACATTCAGATTGCCAACCAAAAATAATCAACAGCCAACGGATTACCACGCAAGGTGCCCAAGGCTGTCAACTACTGTGTACATATGATCTCCGAGGGAAGAAGCGAAACGAGGCGCGAGATGGGGCGAGATGGGGCTGGCTGATTTTACCCAGTTTGAAGAAATGAGTATCTGCAGCAAAGTAACAGACTATCATTCGTCCCCCTCTCCTACTTTACCATACTCGTCGTTCTCGCGACTCTTGGAGGATGGACAGTGACACAAATACAAGAAGGAAAGAATCGGCCCAACGTCCAAAACATGAATCATGCTCTCGGTCGATGGTTGACGGTTCAGTTGTCGACTTGTCGTTCGGTTGTCGTTAGCTTTATCAATTGGATTGGGTGTGAGTGGGTTTTGGTCGCAATGATCGGGGACCGGGGGAAGAACCAAGGGAGAACCAAAGTGGCTAAGCTGGAAGTGGTTAATGCGGGTGCATTGGGCGGTGAGCCGTCCTTGTACCTCTGTAGTTTTTGGCAGCTGGTGGGTCGAGTATTTGTGTTAAGAAAATTGGTGAGGAAGTGGCACAAAGCCGTAACAGGAGGGGAAAAGCCTGCCAGCTGTGGGGGAGGTGTTTAAATGGGACTGGTGTGGTATCATTGGTGTGAGCGGGTACCTTTTCGGCTCATCGTCTCTGGCACACCCGCCCGCTCTGGGCCTTTTTACCTTTGTGGTGGGAGTCCAGGTCTTGGCTGCAGCTGCAAGAGGGCTGCAACGATTGCGCCAGTGTTCTTGTGCAGTGGTGACCTGGCGCGTCCTCGACCTCTGGAATCGAATCCACTTGGGACGCCAGTCATTCTGTGTTCTGTGTTGTTCAACGCCTTCATACCCAAAAGTGAAGCACATGAGGACCAGACCGGGGCCTCAAATGGGGACAAGTGGAAGACATGGATCAGAGGGGGGAGGGGGTGACGCCCAACCAGTGGACGCCATTTTTGTCGTTATCAATTCATTCTTTTGTTTTTTCCCTCTCTTTTCTCTCTTCATTTCCCTCCCTATCGACATACCTAGGACTCTGTTTTGCTCTTCCATTTCTTTTGTTCCTAGACATCCTTGGACTAGTTACCGGGTTCACCGTCCTTTGCCTGCCAACCCTTGCGAGTCCCGAGTCAACGATCCGTGGTCCTCGTGCTTTTTCCCGACCTTCTTTTTCTCCATCTATCCTGACAAGTCTGCCGCCGCTCACTAAGTCAATTAGGGGTCGACATTTCAGCAGCATGGTGGAGGTGGTGTTGACCAAGACACCGTCCTCCTCCTCATCCTCCTCCCCTTCATCCGCCTCCGACGACAACACAACGAGTCCAGTATCTGCCCTTCCGCGTCCCTAAGGTACACACTATAGGCATGGGAATGGGAATGGTAGACGCCGCGACCCCGACCGCCGAAGAAGTAGCCACCGCCGCTGCTGCTGAGCATACTGAGCCCGTAGCTGAGCTCGTGCCGCAAAATCCGACAACACCCCAAGCCGCCATGATGGATTCCAACGGCGATAACTCCGCCCAGGGGGCACAGCCGTCGGCTATGCGGTGCTGCTGTGGAAGGGAGGACTGCGTCTATCTTAGGCACAACTGTACTCGCCTCAAGAGTGTCGAGCGCGATGTCCATACGGCCGCCAAAATGGGCCAGGTGAGTAATCAATGACGCGGACCTGCTTCCTGTTGATGCGTGCCGCATTCCTTCCATCCGTTCTTTGTGCGCCCGCCACCGTCAATCGCTCCCTTAACATCCCTTGATTTCGCTCCTTTCATGGCCTGCTCGCGAATCCATTCACCTTCTCTTCACAAAATGCACAATGCTGGAGTGGTCAGAAAAAACACCCGCAACACACGGCAAATGGCGCGCGCGACAACCCAGGCCGGAGGAATGCTTCTCCTCGCTGACCTTTTCCCTCCAGACCCTGCTCATCCGCCATGAAGCCTACATGGCCGCCGCCGAACGCGACCGCGCCGAACTCACCGCTCGCATCGAACAGCTGGAACGCGAAAATGCAGAGCTCGAGGAGAAGAACAGGGAAACGATACACGAGAACTACAGCCTCCACGCCGAACTCGAGTCGCTCAACGATACCGTCCGAGAGGCCGACTCCCGGATTGACTACCTCGAGACCACTCTACGCGAGTCCCAGCGAGAGATCCGCCGACTGGAAATGGCGGCGGAGAGGGCAGCGACCCTGGAGAAGCAACTCACCATGCTCGAGGAGGAACAGGCGACATTACATGCGACCTTGGTCAATACACAGGAGGAGGCGCGCACCGCCATCACACGTTGGAAGCAGGCCGAAAAGGGTATCAACGACTTGCAGGAACAACTGGAGCGCATGGAGAAGGAAGCAAAGGAAGAACGGGAACGACACGCCGAGGTGATCGGCCGTATCGAAAAACAACGAGAAATGGAAAAGGAGCTCAGCACGGCAGCAGGCAGACTTAAGGGCGCTGCCGCTGTCAAATCCCTATCCGACACCAAGAGCAGTAGCAATGTCGTGTCGCATTTCGTACGCGACCTCTTGCAGGACAACGCCAACCTACAACTGGGCATTGCCGAACTCCGCGACATGCTAATGAACTCACACGACGAAATCCAACTCCTACGGGAACAGATGCACTATCACCAGCCGTTATCAAGTAATAGTAAGCAGATGGGTACCGTATCAACACTACAGACAGAATTCGACGATCCAGACTCGGCCAAAACGCCAAAGATAGTTTCGCAGGCCGTACACGTTCACCATCATTATCATGTTGCCCAGAAGGGCGAGTCACGAAAATCAAGGAAGAACAGGAAATCCATTACTTCAGGTACCTTTTCGCCGCCACACATCATCTCAGCACCTACAACACCAGTATCCTCCCAGAACCCCCAATGGCAGGCGGGCCGTGGCCTTGGGCCACCATTTGTCCCGCGTCACAGTACTCACGATTCCACTTCGACAGCAGCTGGCCGTTGGTCCCTAATATCCGAGATGCCTTCCGAATTTGCGCCATCCTCCGCGCCGACCTCTCCCCAATCGAACCCCCGCCGTAACTCGGTTTTCGACCGCGGCATCATCGAGGTGTCCGCCCCCAACTCTCCCACAACAAGTCTCGATCCAGCTTCGCCCGAATGGAACCGAAGGTCCCACCGCAGACAGGCGTCCCAATGGTCGACCCGTAGCACGGCAATGTACAATTGCGGTACTTGTTCACCACCGTACCCCGGCCACCGATCGCTAGCCGGTCTCGTTCTTGCCGAGGAACTCAACCAGGCTATGGGCGCCTACACCACCGACGACGTACCCGACATAGCCCATGGGGTTTCCTCCGCCGAAGACGACACCGTCGAGACCATCAGCGTAAATGGCGATGGCGACGGCGACGACCCGGCGATCGCGGGCGACGACACCATCCATAACGATCTCGACTTCCACCCCGAAGTGGCCGAGCAACGACCAGGAGGACTCCGACGGATGACCTCACACGAATCCATCATGTCCCTCTCCAACGGTCTCGACATCCACACCCTCAAGGTCCGCCCGAGCCAACTGACCCTCCGACCCCTCGGCCTCAGCGCCGCCGGAACGGGAATCAGCAACGTCACGGCCATGCCGACCATCTCGTACTCGGGCGCGCGCGGTTCGCGCGGAAGCATGCACGCCAGAGATAACTTGGCCCTGGTAGGACAGCGCCTACCCCGACCCGTATCCACCTCCCAGAATAACAAACGTCCCTCGGTCGCCGAACCGCCCTTTTTCCTCAATCCCAATCGTCGCGCCCACACTGACGGTTTGCATATGTCCTCTTCTGTGCGATCAACAGCCTCCCGTCAGCTGTCTCTTCCTGCCTTGGGTAAGCTAGTCTCGTGGCGGCCTTGGGGCCAGAGTTCTAGCCAGCCGACCACAACCGAAGCGCCCGTTCCGGGAAGAACAGGATTGGAGCCAACCCCGGAACTCCCCGAGCCCACACCCACCCCTGTTGGAACAAGCACAGGCACAGGCACCGGCCTAGGCATCGCCATCGCTCCAAGCGACGGCAAGTCCTCCTACCGAAGCTTCAGCTCGTCCACCACCACCACCGGCACGGCGGGGACGGCGGGCACAGCGGCTACGAGCGCCACCACCCCCCTGTCGTCTTCCGTGCGGTCCGTGTCCTCTGCGACGACGGGGACGACCATCAAGCCTAGGGCGCCGGGCATCAATCAGCCAGGCGTGATCCCAGGGTTTTTGGCGAGGAAGGGCGGGTTGCCGAGTAAGGTGACGGTGGAGGCGTTGGATGGGAGTCAGTTGGGGAGTATTGAGGAGGCTATGAGGGAGGGGATTTAGAGGTGATGAATAAGGGTGAGGGGGATATAAAGAAAGGAATTAATGATGTGGATGATGGGGGTGGAACTGGAAGGAGGGGTGAAAGAAGGAGGGGGGAAATGCTGGATGGGGAACGGAACGAAAAGGTTGGATTTGCATATTGCATACAACATCATTATTGAGACCTTTTTGGATACAGATCAGATATAGTTGTTTCGGATTTCTTACTTGTATAGCGACCCAAGCGATGGATGGTCGGCAGGGAGAGATTATAAGGGGATTTCTTATCTTGGACAGATCTATTTTGGTTTTTTAGCATGTTTGCGTTTTGCATTAGGGACGGTGTTTTGGGTCGTTCAACTTTTCAAGTATTGAATTGGATGTCTTCGTTTGGGTTATCTATGCCCTTGGTTCAGTCTCAATCTCAGTTGTTGTTGCTTGCTCCTTGGTTCTTGCTTTTGCTGTTTCCTTTCTCTTCTTGTCTACCGCCAGTACAGCTCCGACATCCGACACTACCATAGTTTCTTTGCGATTGCTTGCGTCCCAATGCACGGCAAGAGGTCACCTTTCCTGCGCTGTCCCGCCATGGAAGTGGCGACCCAGATAGATAGAAGGCATGTATCTTATGTGAAGAAGGAAGGCATCACGGCGAGAAGGAGCCCAGCGATACAAGGATGGAACCCAGCAGTAAAGGAAGGAGGAGATTCCCATCAAGGGAGCCCACAACTGATTGGAAGTCCGGTTGGGGACGAAGGGACTCGTGTATTTAAACCAGCCCCCCCCCCCCCCCCCCAAAGGCCTTGGGAGTAGACTATTTTCTTTTCATCAGATCACACACTTTCTATCCAATCAATTGGATCACCATTTTGCTTACATCTATCCCATACACCTTGGCCTAGACGAGGAAGAAATCCCGTTTTTCCTCCCTGAGGGTGATCTCTCCGTCCATGATGCCATCACAGTATGCGTCCCCTATGTAAGTAAAGGTGTCTTCTTCTGCTGTTGGTCTTAGGACGAAGGGGATCCTTGCCCCTGGAAAGACAGTGACGACGTCCCCCGACTTCATCTCATGCGGCCCCATTCCCATGTACCCTTTCTTCGTGAGATATAAGCTCTTGCCGGCCATTTTTGCGAGACAGTCGTCATAGTGTTTCCCTCCATCTGCCTCCAATGAGTGTGCAGTCCATTCAAGAACCTTCTTCTTCTTATCTTCATCCATACAGTCCATCCAGCCGGGCGCAGTCATGTCGATTTCCAGCGCTTGCAATTGCTCCAAACTACGTCTCAACCTGTGATATTCAAGGACCAAATCGGTCTTTGTCCTATGTTGAAGCATGGTCATCTGCCAATCGGATGCAATATCTCCAACGGGCACACGCCAAAGTGCCTCCTCCCTTCGTGCCGGAGTCTCGTATATGGGTTCGTCCTTCTGCTTCGAAAGCTCCCATAGTCTGTCCAACTTCTCGAAGAACGCAATATGGTGATCGCACACCTGCAGATTCGTCGCCAAGTTGAAGCGCCCTCTATATACCATCCCGCCCGCCACTTCAATGGTGTCAACGAGATATCCCCGTAAACCCAAAATCCCAGCGGTCCGATTCGGCACCATCTCGACTGAACGATGAGGCCCGCATGCCATGAGCATCTTCTTATTGGTTCCCGTATTCCCTTTCTGAGGATTGGTGTAGTAATAAAAAGCGTATCGCAAGCCAGACCTCCAATCCGGTACCCATGATGGTAGCTTGTCATGACTCCCATCGTCGAGAATTGTTTTGGGGAACTGCGAATAAGAGAGAAGCTCGACCGGATATCCATCCTTCGTCTTTCCGATGATAGCCTTTGCTACCTCGATCAAGATTTGTGCAGTTCCCGTTTGGCCGGAATAGTCTGGTTTGATCTCTAGGTCGCCAACATCCGCCGCCAGACCCAGCAAAGCATAAACCCGATCTCTGTGAAGCTTCGTCTCTCTAGACAAAAACCTGTCCGTGTACGTATCGGTGAGTAGTCGAAATAGATTGTCGCCCCCTTCCCCTTCCATGATCTGCTGGAGTCTACGCTCACGAGTTGCGTGAGACTGAGCTATCTGTTGTATAAAGAGGCCCATAACCGGGATCACATCTCTTGTTATCATCACCCCAGCTAGTAGTTCAATGTCAGTGCTAAGGGGGCTCACGCCGTCCCAGTCCGCCGCGTAACCACTCTTGCGCAAAACCTCTCGCACGGCGTGAATCATACAAAGGGCAATCGCCCCAACGATGTCGTAGCTCACCGGCGGCTTCATTCCACATACAAAGACAGTGTCGGCGCACTGACACGCCTCCTGCACGACCCACACGCGCGTAAACCATGGGCGTCGGAACAGAGCTCGCAACTCCCCCGACACCCACAATCGAACAAGTCTCGTTGCTCCTTCCTCCACAATTCCCATGGTGGTCTTTCCAGTGCTTGCATCGGCTTTGTTTGTCGTGCAGACCACTGCAGCTCCGTCCAACGCTTCTGTATTGACGACACCCACACCCACTCCCATGTCAGACCCAACTTGAACGCCATCACCATCACCATCACCAGGGATATCAACGACTTTGTCATCTCCAAAGGTAGTACCAGTACCTGCCCCGACACCAATACCACTACCACCACTCATCTCCTTCACCATCTCCTCCACTATCTCCTTCCCCACCACCCCCCTCCCCTCCTTCTTCTTCATCTCTCCCACACCTTCCCCATTCCCCCGTTTCCTCTTCTCCCCAGCATTTTCACCGTCACCACCCAATATAACCTTTTTCACCAATTCATCAATCCTCTCCGCATCGCCCGCCTCCGCCCCAATGCTCTCAAACTCCCTCCCAAGCTCCGCCAATGAGTCCATCACTTCATCTGACCCGTCCGCTTCCGGACCCAACCAGATCAGCACCTGCTCGGCGCGCGAGTATATCTGATTCATGAGGCCGACTTGCACAGCTTTCTCGTCCGAATTGGATTGGTCGATGCAGAGTTGGTCGATCCAGAGGGTTAGCTTGGTCAGGGGGTGGTCGCGGTGGTGAATCGCTCATAAGTGGCGGAGGCAGGTGTCTAGCGAGGAGGTGATGCGGATTATACACAACCTTTTTGTTGGTGTCATTTTGGCGTGTGCTTCCTCTCCCTCCCCTCTCCCAGCCCCAGCCGCCCTAGCCCCAGTCCCACCGCCATCGACCTCGTCACCAGAAGAAACGCTAACCCCGCTTGTGAGGTTTGCGAGGCTTGCATCTGCATCTGCATCGTTGCCGTTGTCGCTGGTGTTGTTGTTGGAGTCGATGTAAATCAGATGCGTCTTGTCGTCGCTGCCCCACGCGTAGGAGAGGGCTTTGAAGGGCGCGGGCGAGGAGATGGGCGTGTTGTAGAGGCGGCAGTGGAGCGGGGAGGGGAATTCGGCGGAGGGGAAGAGCTCGAGGAGGCGGATTTCGGTGGCGGGTGTGTTGAGGGGGATGGTGGTGTAGGAGAGTTCTGGGTGGGTTGTCTGTGGTGGTGGCGGCGGTTGCGGTGAGGAATTGTTGTCCTCCATGGTTGGTCTTTGGGTCGGTGTTCTTGGGTTGTGTTTTGCGAGGAATGGTGACAAGAAAACTGCAAGCCGGGTTTCTGGCACTCAAACGAGTTTATGATGGTTGAAGGGTTGATACATATCATTTCCTGAGAAGTTGAACAACGAGTGGGATGAAGCCAAGCTCCGGTAAGCGCAACGTGCCATTGCAGAAGTGGCTTGTGAACTAATAGGTTTTCGGGCAACTCAAGTGGATTGTATACGCTGTTCTGAAACTGAAGTGGCGTACCAATTGTAGGGGCCTGAACACTTGTCACTTCACTCACGAACCGACTGTGTTGACCTCTTAGAATTGAGACCCATACACCCCCTTTTCTCAGGTACTCTGTTAAGGGGGGTTAGGGTTATTAATGGTTTCTGTACAACCTGAACATGCGGATTACGAGTACGAGGACACTCGAGTTTTTGAGTCCCAAGTTGGAGTCTCAATCAGCTAGAAACAATCCGAATCGACCTTCGAGGAAGTGCTCTACCTCCTCTCCCAGTTCGCAATTAATGCAGCAAAAAATGACGAGGATATCATGTGCGCAAACATCAAGGATACTGCTAGGTACCTATATTTCTATTTCCATCACACGCAAACCTTCGGAAATTATCGCATGAACTTGCTATTTCTCTACTCCCGAATCCCCCAAGCCTTAGCAAGTTATGTCGTACACAATGAGCAATGCACCGATTCAACTTCGCGTACTTCCTTGCGTCGTGGCACGACATCGGCGAAGGCTCCGAAGCGCAGACAGAGTAAGAGTGTCTCAGCGTCCCTTTTTACGACACGAGTCAAAGTTTGAACACAGCATATGTCTCAATATACATGGCATGTATGCTTCGGCAATTATCTACCGCTACTGTGATGACGATGGCAAAGCTGCACTTTGATTCTCGAACTGACGAGAGAAAAATCTCCTTTTTCCACCCATCACAACACAGGTGAATTGGTTTAAGATTCAATTGGAAGGGCATTGATCATTATATCCAACGATGGGACTCTTATCCAACAGATACCCAGCAATCTGATAAAAATACGAAAAGTAAGCCAGACAGACCAGGTACCCACACGCGTGACACATCATGCACCGGCCACCGGGTCCCTTGCATGCAAACCGATGCCGCCAACCTTGTCTGGAATGCCCGTTCCCGGCTCGGCACCCGATATGCCCCTTGGCCCTTGACCCTTTCGCCGTTTGGATTGAAAACGAAGCGAACATTCCGAACGGGTCTGGGCACCGACATTTGGTTCGGCTCGCGTACCCAATCACCACGGATACATTCCAGCTCATTCTCACTCACGCTTTCCACAACCTCTTCACCGCAGCACCACACCCTTGGCTTCCCCCTCCCCCCACCTCCCATAGTCCCTAGGTTCAATCTCTCCTACCTACTCACACTCCCCTTAACCCCCTGCCCTGACGGTTCAGCAACCTAAGCCTGTCCAGGCAACGTATAGCTCCCCCCAATATCCAAAAGATAAGCCAAAGAGTTCCACTCCACATCCACGCTCTTGATCTGCCACATCTTCTTCTGCTTGTTGTACACCGCGCCAGCGACGGCGATGCCGCGCACGGCCTTCTGGGCGGCGCCGAAGGTGGCGTGCCAGATGACGGTGATGTAGTTGCAGTTGAAGGTGGAGAAGGTCACTTGGAGGGGGAGGTTGTCGGGCTGTTTTTTTGGGGTGGTAGTTAGTTATGGGAGGGAAAGGGGAGGTAGAGGGGGGGAGAGAAGGGAGTAGGTGAAGAGAGGTGAAGAGAGGTGAAGAGAGGTGAAGAGAGAGGTGAAGAGAGAGTTGAAGAGAGAGGTGAAGCAAAGGCAAAGAGAGACTGAGAAAGGCAAAATAACGAACCATAACAGTCATATGATCCACAAACTCCTGCTTAGTCGCGAACGTAGGCACCGATCCGTCCAACGGCTTCCCGATCAAGATGTTGATGCTACCGCTCGTGTCTTTGAAGTCGTCCGTGAGGTACTTGGCATCGGCGATGTTCCAGGCGCTGATCATGCGCACGTAGGCATCCCGGAGGGTGTTGGCATCGTCTTCACGGAGGCACTTGTTTTTATCATCGTAGGTGCGCGACTCGACTTCGGATCCGGACTGGGGGAGGGCGACGGCGGAGGTGAGGGCCGTGAAGGCGGTGGCGAGGACGGTGAGAGATGGGAGGAGATGCATCTTTGTGGTTTGGTGGCTCTGTTGTTGCTGGCGATGGCGGATTGGACTGAGGAATGTTGGACTGGTGAAGCGGGATGAGAGATAGAAGTTCTGAGCTGGTTGAGACTCGAGGGAGGAGCTTCACTTATACTTTGATCGATATCCTCATTCCCTCGGTCACGCGAGCCAGGGAGGGCCGCTCAAAGATCGTCGTACAAACACGGGAGTACCTGACTCCCTCCAGCTCCCTGCCCAGGGTGGACTATACGGAATACGGGGACTCGGCAGTAGTTACCCCTGGTGTAAGTCACGCTGTCATGAACCATGGTAAAACTGCGCCAGACATAGTGCAAATCCGTCAGTCTATCAGTCAGATGTGCATCCATCTCTGTCCTGTCCGTCCGTCAAAGAAGGTTGCAATTCCTCCCGGAATGTCTCTCCTGCGCATGCACACTCCTCCACAGACCATTCGGACCAACCAGGGTGATGGGCCCAATCATCAGCAACGCCTCCGACGCCTCATGAACCAAACTTGAGAGTTTGTTCAACCTACCGCATCCCTTGCTTACTCAGACAATACATGAGCCTCAGTGCAACTGCAACGACGGGAAAAAGCCAACAGGTGTAGTTCAGGCCCAGCCAGGTCGTCAGCCTTACGAAAAAGAAACAATATTTCCCGGGAATGGCTCGGAGGAACTCGCTCAGCTTCCAGCCCTTTCTTTTTCGGAAGACTTGAAGGAGAAGGAGGGACGGAACCACGGAAAATCGAAAGAGGAACTCTGCAGGCAATACTTACCCAAGTGGAAGTTTACGGGTGCAAGTCATATTTTGTCCGACCACACACACCCCGCAAATACCACGGGACGGGCCATGATATACTTGTTGGTAAGCTCAATTGGGAGTCTTGGGGAGTCTTCAACCCGGGGAAATTTCAGCCGTGGCGTCTTTTACTGCCTTTTGTACCACCACCACCACAGAACGCCAAAGATTATCATAAACGCACACAAGGCTTTGCATTGCGTGTTAAAACTTCAACGATCCCAGTTGGTTCCGTCATCGACGCGAATTCTTGCTCGCAAAGGGTCAACATCTGTCGGACACTGCCGGCGGCCACCCGCATTATGCTGAAGTTGGGTAACCAACCGTAACTGCAAGTCGCTGAGCTGAGCTGGGCTGGGCTGCTGAGGTGACTACCGTTCGGGAGTCTTTGGCATAGCTTTTTTGCATGTCTGACAGCCTGTCTTCACGACGTCGGTCCCAGGAATGAGGACGAGGATGAGGATGAGGATACGATGTGTGCACCTGACTGTGGATGAAACTGGAGTGGAAGGTCGTACATAGGTATGTGCTGCTGGTACCGTGCAAAGAGTACAAAGAGTAAAGAGGTGCGAAGATGCGGTGGTGGCGTCCCTTAAGTTTCTAGCTGGCTTTATTGCACTTTTCCAGGATCAACTAGCAAGCCCTCGCAGTTTGCGGTCCCGAGGACGAGGTTGAGGCCGATCCGATGGAGGGTTAGGGCTTGGAGTTTACATAATTGGGAAAGCAGGAAGGCTTGGAGTTACGTACACTATGTTGTGAGTACGTACCCCTGATAATCGTTAGCGATCGCGATTGAACAGGCTCTTTTTCTTCGGATTCGGATTTGGACTTGGTCGGAGAGAAGGTGATTCGTTGTCACTTACCTCTTTCCTCTCACTACCTCTCTCTACCCACGAGCGTCCAGCCACCCACCACCAGGCACCACTGCACCAGCTCACCACGTTTGCTTCCGGCTTCCATCATTGCCATCGTCATCACCTCACCTGACTCAAACATCATCTTGTCTCCTTCCAGAAGAAATGGGGTATAGATTCATCTTTCAAGTCGTACCTGTAACCACTCAACTACCACATACAGCAATAATCGACCTACTAACGACAGCATAAAAAATGACCAGCAATGGCGTATGTACATGAAACAACATAGGTAAGAAAATCACCCCGTTTCCTTTCTAGATCCATCCCCTTCACGAAGTCTAGTCGTCATTCGCCTCATTCATGTCCCACATTACTTCTGAACCTTCATTCATTGGAAAATCTCATCTCTCCTCAAATCATGGTATCATACACTAACACAACAACCTCTACCCCCTTCACTGCCAAGTATTCCCAATCCTCCAAACACTTTTCAGGCAACCCCAAACTGTCAATAGGTACTCATGCGGAATGCTTTAGAACAACATCCCCCATTCCCATGCTCATGCTCATGCTCCATGCAAGTTGCAACCCAACCCAACCCAACATCAACCCTTGAGTCTTGACCAAAACCGTAATATGCATACCTTGACCTTGTCCACCCCATCCCACCCCATCCCCTTCATTCCACCTCACTTCTTTCCCTCCAAAAACATGCGCTTGAAATCGGCGTTGCTTTTCTGAGCAACCGGTGGTGCCGGCGCAGCAGGGCCTACCGCGGATGACGATGGCCCGTTACCGTTGACTTGCTTCTCCGAGCTCGAGCCTTCCTTCGTCGCCGCAGCAGCAGCGTTCTGCTCCTTCTGCGCCTTGCTGACAGGAACGACGAACCCGAGTCCCCTCTTGGCCCCCGCTTTGCCCAGTACAGGCGGTCGCCTGATGGGTGGCGGCGGTGGCATCAGCTCCGCGGCGGTCTTCCCCTTTTTGCTGGCCTTGGAGTTGTCCTGCTTTTTCTGCGGTTGCTGGTGAGGCAGATCAATCCGATCTATTCTCTTCTCGGCCTTCTCCTTGAACAGCTGACCGACGGATCCGACGCGCAGCTTCTTACCACCCTCGATCTCAGTGCTATTAATGACGAGGGAGGCCTTGCCAGCCGTGGCTGCATCGGCGAACTCGACAACAGCACCACCGTGCTGCGGGTGGAGCACGAGCTTGTTGATGGCGCCGATGGGGGCGACGATGGAGCGAACGCGCGCGTCGTTCATCGTGTCGGGAATGCCAAGAATGGCGATCGTACGGGCGGCAATCTCAGGCCCGGACACGTGACTAGGTCCCGACCCGGAGGCGCTAGACTCTGGCGAACCTTCGGCTTCACCGTCAGCTCGACTCGTGGCGGTGGTTTTGCGCGTGGGCGGCTTTGACACCTCCACCTTGAGGGGATGGTTGCCAAAGATCACCTTATCTAGTATCTCAATCGCCTTGGCTGCCTCCTCCTTGGTCTCCATCACCACAAATGCGGTGCCGGTGCTGACACCTCCCATGTTGCGCGTCAGACGGACGCTGACGACCTTGCCGGCCTTTTGGAAGAGACCTTCGACGTCCTCTTCGCTTGCTGCACGAGGTAGGTTGTTCACGTGGAGCTCGCGCTCTTCGGCCTGAGCTCCTTGGCGCACTTGCCTATGACCTGGATCGGAGAACTTGGCTTGTAACTTGAACTTTCCTCCTTCCAAAGTCTTGCCGTCAAGTTGAGTGGCCGCGGCTGCAAAGGATCGGTCGCGGAAGGATACGTAGCAGAAACGACGCTTGGTGTTGTACTTGAGGCTGGGAAAACGGATACTGTGAATGTCACCACAATGCTTGAAAAGATCGCGGATATACTGCTCATCTGCCTCAGGCGGGTAGTTGGTCACGAAGAGGGTGCAGTCGGTTGCCGGGCTGACTTGGATAACTGATTCGCCGAGGGATTTCCCATCGCGAAGCAAAGCTGTCCGAGCATCTTCTGGCGACCTGAACTCAATCAGCGCCACAGCCGGGGCACCTTCGCTCTTTTGGAGGTCGATGTTGTTGATGTGGCCGTACTCGCGGAAAAACTGTCGCAGCTTGGTTTGGGTAATGCCTTCGGGAAGATTGCGAACAAAAACCGATGTGTTCTCCCTGTCACGCTTGAGCTCAGCCGCACCCATAATGGTTTCGCTCTTTGCCCGCTTGGCACCATCATCAGCCTCATCTACAGGACCATCCTCACGCTTCCTCTTGGAGCCGGGTGATGTGCCAGCTTGCGGGGCATCTGTCATGGGGTGATCCTGGGATTGTTGCTGCTGATATTGCTGTTGCTGTTGATGTTGCTGCGGTTGGTGCTGGGCTTGAGCCTGGGCCTGGGTCTGTGCCTGTGCTGCGTACGCGGCCTGGGCCTGAGCTTGTGCTTGAGCAGCCTCTCTCTCACGACGCCTAGCAACTCCCTTTCTCGTCTTGTAGATGGTATCCTGGGCTTCGCGTAGGGTTTCGGCCAGCTCATAGTCGTTGCAATGCTGAAGATAAACATCCATAATCCGCTCGGGCCAGTCGAGCGTTCGTACCTTGAGAGCCTTGATGAAGACACGAGTGGCAAAGGAGGGGACCCGCAAGCCTTGGGCCACGGTGGCAGGTGTAGGGCTCCGGTTCTTGCTCTTGGTGGAGGCGAAGACTAGCATTTCCCAGAGGAACCAAGCCAGCCAGAAATCGTAGCTATTGGCATGTAGCGGAATCCCAGACAACTGTTCCCATACGTTTCGTGCCTCATCAATGTCATCCTTCTTTTCGGTTAGAAACTGAATCAAGATCTTTTCTAACCTGAAGTTGGGGTCGCCCTGGTAAGCATCACCGTACCGTCGCTTGCCCCAATGTCGAACGTCTTCCAGGGCAGACGGGAGGCCGACCTCGGCAAGGTCAACGGCTTCTTCGGTCGCGTTGGGGTTCATGGCGGTGCGCTTCAGGTAGCCACACCAGGCCGAGTACATCTCCAGAACTCCACCCATGCCATCGCGATCGAGTTGGGCACAGCTCGTAGCTGCGTGCTTGATGCGCTCAATGTCAGTGAAGCCTAGGCCAGCTTCCTCGGCAGCCAGGATGTAGCGGGCCCAGACAGTGCCAGACCAGGGAACGTGGTGCACAGCGCGCTGAAGGACGTCCAGCATGTTGGGCAGGATAACCGAAGGGATCTTTACGCGACCCATCTTGACGTCAGAGTGCCATGTTGAGACGAAAACGAGGAAGTTGAGCCAGGTCGCTTCATCCGAAGACATGATGCCGGTAAGAGCACGCGAAAACAGACCAAGGCAAATGCGCATGTTTGTCAGGGTATGGTGATCCTTTTTGGATTTGGCCTGCCTAATCTCCCAATCGATGTATTCGGTCATGATGGCCTTTATGCCCGCGATATCGCCCGCCTTCTGGGCCTGGTTGAGCTTCATCTCCCAAGGGTCGCGCATCTCGTACAGACGCTTGGCGTCTCTGGCGTTAGCGGTGACGTGCAGCATCTCGGACTCGTAGTTGGCGCGGTTGTACTCGGAGAGGAAGCTAGAAAACATCTGTGACGTGTTATCCCAAGCGGCATGGGGCACCGCCAGTCTGTTCTTGTAGAGATGGGTGATGCGGCGGACGCCGGCCTCGGTAGCTGTGCGGGCGAGCAGCTCCATCTCGAGGGAAACCCAGCGATTCCAGAGCTGGTGGCTGTCGGAGAGACGGTACTGGACGGCCTCATAGCCCTCCTGCCAGAGGTTGAGGGCATGGTCCAGGGTAAAGGTTTCGCGGCCGAGGTGCTGCTCGTCAAGGGGCCAGCCAGCGTCGCTACCGGGCTGGCAGTCGGAATAGAGAGACCAAAAGTATTCGCAGTAGGCCATCCATACTTTGAGGCTGCCGGGCTCGGCTTGGACGGCGCGACGGAAAGTCTCGATGACCTTGACGCGATTTTCGAGGTCGGTGGCGCCACGCAGTTGGTGGTCGACAAAGTCGACCCAGTTATCCTCCCCCACCGGACTCGCCATTGTTCTAAGCCTTGTATCGGGGATCTCGTGTCATCGGTCGACGGGGTGTTTTGTGTGTTTTGTGTAGTCAGCGGATGCGGATAGCAGATGGCGGGATGCAATGCGATGTGCTGCCGTGCGGGTGGGTGGGTGTTGCCGTGATCGTGAGGCCGCCGGTGCGATATGCGCTGTGTGGTTGGAGAAGAAGGCTTAAAAATTCTCGCGAGGATTAGGTGCGCAGGCGTGCGGGCGTGGGAGACGAGGAACGACGGACTGGGGGGCCGACGTGTCAATGCCGATCAGCGGATCTGTTTACCGAGCAGTAACCCAGGGAGCCAGGATGAGAGAGGGAGGAGGTGGTGGTAAGCAAGGCAAGGTGGTTAGAGGTAGCCTCGGGGAGAAGACAAGCGAGGAGAGAAGGCTGGGAACTGTGAAATGTGGACCGTGGACTTGTGGTGGTGGTTGACGGATGAGGATCTGATCAGAGATTCGGAAAACGAAACCGAAGAAAACGGAAGTCCAGTGCGGTCTGTTCACTGAAGGTCGGGAGGGATTCTGGGCCCAGCCGTAGAATTTTGGGTCGGGTCGGGCTGCGGGTTTAGTGTAGAGGGTTCAAGAGCTGCCCTGTGTGTGGGCAGTGAGGAGGTGGTCAGTGGATAATGGGCTAGACGCGCGGCCGGACGGCACGGGCGGTACCTGGCGTGGCCTTATCGCTGCGCCCGGTGCAGGCAGGTGGTCCCGCCGCGCTGTCCACTCTACTGGGAGAACGCGGGAAGGAGCTGGAGGTAGACGCGAAACGTGACCTGATCAAGAGAGTCATTCACTTCATTGTCCCTTCCTCAAGTCAGTTCCTCATTCCTTCTTCTCTTTCTCTTTCTCTCAGTTCCCGGGCCACTCCTTCTGTGTGGGCGGCTATCGGTCGGGTCGGGTGCACCTTCTCTGGCAAAGTGCGGCCCGGGGCGACCTCGCCAGCGACAAAGTCCCCTGACCGACCGAATTTACAGTAGCGCGGCGGATAAGATGGAGACTCAGGGAGGAGTCCAACGGTGGAGCCCCGAGCACCTCACCACGCTCACTTGCGCAAAGACTCACAGTGAGACTTTGGCGACACAGTTCACTGGCGACGACTGGGCACTGGATGGTATCTCTACTGTGTACTGAAAATCGTCTTTGACCACTGTCTCAAGACATCCAGATCGTCTTCAATAGGTAATAGCACAGACATGCAGCGGCGTGACTACCGGCCGGCAAGCGGGCAAACTTCATGATGCCACGAGGGAGACAAACCTGAACATTCAAGACACTGCATTGCGCCGGACATGCACATAGCCAGGATTGATGGAGAAATAAGCTCTGTGAGATTCCTCTGGGATGGTCACATCTCATCTTCCCTTTTGGCAATTCCCACCATCATGCGACCTTCCTCCTGCGGCCGTGTCGCCGGCTCCGGCTCCGTTGAGAGAATTATGGGAATGGCATGGGAATGGGGACCTTGGGAACACTCCATTTAGCAACTCAACCATTTTGCTTGTGATGGCCTCATCTGGGAGCTGAGCACATTGATGGACAAGAGGTGGTGCCCCAAAATGTATTGGTGCTGACTTGCTGACTGCTGACCTGCCCTTCGACTTCCTTGATGGCTGAACTTTGTCCGACAGAGCCGGCCAGATCGACAGAGGTCTAGAACTACTGATCAGAGAGATTGATGGTCTGCCAAATTTCCTGATTGCTTTTTGCGAGTCCGATCATGAGTGACACTGCATAAACTCATGGTGGTGCGCCTCGTGTGCCTCCTTTTCACGGCTCTGTTTCGTGTTGCAATCGTGAACACTTCGTGAGTTGAAATCTCTAATATGTCATGAGAGAATTTACATTTTGAATTCGGGTGCCTGACCAAAAATCGAATCCCCAAAATCCGCTGCCGACGACCCTGGCGTTAGTACGGGAAAAGGGGTCAGGGTCGGGTCGGGTGTGCACGGCGGTACGTACCTCACCAGCGAAAAGTTACAATGACGACACTGTTGGTCCCCGCTCTGAGAACAACCCACTTCGGGTCATCAGCGGGTCCAGGTGAGGAAATGCTGATTCAGTATGATTCACACGGACATCATCAATCATTACCTCTCCCATCTCTCATATCGAAAAGTTTCGACAGCTCAGGGTCCTTCCACAAACTATTTGCACATCTCCCGTGCATTTCCCCAAGGTCGTTTGGAAAACCCAAGGGAGTTGGGACTTGTGAGCTCGTGGACTTCGGAAAGCAAATCGGCCGAGCACCTTGGCGCCCACGACCCCCTTTTGCCGATCTCGCCGATCAACCCTGGGCCAAGCCAATGAACTGCCTGCTCGCTGACTGGTCCCTGGCTTTTCGTTCTCAGCACCCAGCTTTGCCATCTCCGTTGGCTCCCGCTGAGACCCCTTTCCTGCCGTTTTTGCGTCGTCCCATTTCCGTTGCTGGCGTCCATTTCCTTCGTGTTGCGGCATGTTTTGGCTTCTTCTCCTCGTGTTGTGTGTATAATGTTGGTGGGTGTGGTGGTGTCAGAATCCCATCATCATTACCGTTCGCCGTGGGCAAGGTCCCTGGTTCAGGCGGGGATGGGGGTCCTTCAAAAGGCCATGGCTGTCAGATTCTAGGGTGGCATTCTGGCCAGATGTGGACTAGATGCCAGAGTCCCAGCCACCTGATTTAACAGGTCTTGGCAAATATAGGTTACCCCCAGAACCCTCATACCTTCTGAAGAGAGCGCTCGAGTTAGATACACACAGAATCAATCAATTACCAGTAAATCTGATAATTAACAGTCTAATATATAGCTTATCAACATAACGATTAATACGTACAAATAATAAATAACAACCAGATTATAATATCTCTTTCAAAATCTACCGAAACGAAAGAAAACGTGGATTACTTTAAAGACAGCGATAACTAATTGCGATAAGAATTTATATTTTAATCGAAATATATCCTTAATACCCTTAAAGATTAGCTTTAAGGAAAGATTAAGAAACTATCCACCCTAAAATAGCCTCATCCCAATTATTACTTTATAATGAAGGAGGCTAGAACTTATATTAATAATATTAAAGTGGAGCTTATACGTTTCGATAGCGGTATTAATTCTTAAATTGTTGTCTATTAAAATAGAACTAACTATAAAGAATTTATTAAATATTACGACCGAAACGAGATTATAGTTAATACCTTTATTACCGAAGACGACCTTATTAATAAATAATTCTATAAATTAGAAATTAACCTCTATCCTGATAATAAAAAGGATTAAAAGGAGTTTATAATTAATAATAAAGCCCTACGTACCTAAATAAAGTCGTTAATTAATTATAAACGATAAGGTAAAAGTATAAAGGAGGAATATAATACCGATGAATAATATCGAAATTTTAAATAAATAACGAATTATAAAGTGGTCGACGATTAAATTAAAGTAAGAAAAATATATTATAAGGTTATTATTATTTTTACGAAAAAACCTAAAAACTTAATTAATTAATTATAAACTTAATTTTTTGCTATAAGTAACGATTAGAATAAAGGAGTCGGGGAGATTTTCGTTGCTAATTTATAGTACTCTAATTTTATTAATACGGTTAAAATTGTACGTCCGGGTTAATATAATAGCGCTTAGAAATTTAATAAAAAGATAGCCGCTAATACTTTTAAATATATAGAGGTTTATAAAGATTTTAAATAGTATAATGCTAATAACGCTCGTTGTAGGATTACCGCCGGAAGAAGAAGAATTTATTGTAATACTTTTAGTGTCAACGAAATTAATATTGAATATAATAGTTAGAAATATAATAGCGAAGGTTATAATATTCAAAATAAGGATATTCGTTATAACAGTAAGAATAAGAAGCTAAAGGGCTTTAGTACTAAGAAAAGGAAATTCCTATTAAATAAATCCGAAATTTAATTACGTAAAAAGGGTAACGCTATAATATATAAGGTATATTAAAGAGGCTATTATTTCCTTAAAGATTATATCCTATGAATATCGTATTTAATTAAAAGTATACTACGTAATCATATTCCATTAATACTTTATAAATAATTGAATACTTAGGGACTTAGGTAGCTGAACCGCTAATATTATATTTCTGCTAATTATTTCGAAAGTCGTCGCCTATATAAATTAATTTAATAATGGCGCGCTATAAACTAAGCTCTAATAAATAAATAAAAAATAATTTCAATAACCGTTTAATTATAAATAATATTTAAATAATAAAAGAATAAACCGTTAACTTTCTTCAAATAATTTCTTAATAATCGATAATCCTAATAGAAACCCTACCTTCGTAATTAAAAATAGGAGACGAGGTTAGTAATAAAGTTAGGGTAAAAGGCAACTTCCTTTAATTATAATTTTAGGGGACTATTTTTACCCTTAATAATAATATTGACCTTCCTAAACCTTTTGATTTCTATTTGAATATTATTACTTTATAAAGAATTATTTGGATTAATATAATAAAAGTAAAGGAAATGAATAATTTTATTAAATATATAAAGCGAACTATTTAAATTGAATAACGTTAAATTTTTAAGAGGGTAAAATTTGTTTCTAGTTTTAAATGCCCTATTAATTTAGAAGGTTATTTTATAAGTTCAATTCAATAGTTACGCTAACTCTTCCTTTTTAACTTTCTCCTCCTTCTTAGAGAATTTAATTACTACCTTAACCAATTTTAAATTTCTTACGAAATTAATTTTAACAACGCGTTTAATAGAAGAATATAACTTAAAATATAAAGGCTTCGCGCTTAAGTTAACATACTAAATAAAAATAAAATTATAAATTAGCCGCGTTTTAAAAGATTAAAGCTATAATTTAAGAGAAAGATTTGCCGTCGATTTCTTTAATTTTTAATTAGCATTTAAAGGATTATACTACCTTCTTTTAATTACCTATTAATTATTGGGATTAATCTGGAATTATTATTTAGCGAACTAAAAAGTTATTATAATAGTTAATACTTTGGTTAACTATATTTAAATATTTAAGCACTGATATAATATTAACGTTAAGACCGTCGAATATAATAACGAATTTATAAGTAACGAAATTAAGGATAGATTCGCCTAGTATAATATAGTTTTTAAACCTTCTATTCCCAATATTTAAGTATAGAATAGAAGGGTAGAACGTTTAGGGGGTATAATGAAAGAGAGATACTATATTATATTATTAAATTCGAAAATATCAGAAGATTTATAGCTAGAAATTACTTGCCTGACTATTTACTTTATTAATCATTCTCTTCGTTACCTATATAATTAGAAATCTCCCTTCGAATAATTGTATACCTATATTACGAACTAATATAATTAGTAAGAAATACGTAAACTAAATTTAAATTACCTTCGAATTTATAGGTATAAAATATTTATTATAATAAGCGCCGCCTAAAGGAAGGAGTAAAGACTTTAAAAATATAACTTAAAGGCTTAGATCGGGTACTTTATTGGCTGTTTAGCGATTTCTATCTATTGTATATAGAATTCCTATATAAATTAGATTGTTTGAATTAGATATTACTTATTATCTAAATATTAAGAAATTTAAAAACGATTTTAAAATTACTAGCGAAGAGTTTATTAACTTATTTAATAAAATAAATGAATCCGCTAGCTAACCTTTGGAGGTATTCGAATTATTTTATATTGAAGGTTATACGCTACTAAACGACGTTAACGACGGTAATATTAAACCTCTCCTGTCGAATTTCCTTAATTAAAATTAAGAGGATTATTAAAGAAACTAAGAAATCTACCAAATTAAAAATAATTAATTATAAAAAGTGCTAATTTAATAGCCTATTTACAATAAAATATTTATTAAATATATTATAAATTTATATTTATCACCTCTATTTACCACGCCAACATTACTTTATACCGGTTATTCTATTAACCGAATTATAAATTAATATTCCTATTATTAAAAACTATAGGAAATTACCTTTAATATTAATAAATTAGTTTAATTAATAATTAAAATAAATAAGAAGTTAATTACTAAGGTAGAAGTCGAAAAATTAATCACAAAATATAATCGTTTAATAGGGTATATTAATATAATTTCCCTCTAATACCCAAAAAGTATTATAATTTTAATAATTATATATTCGGTTAATAATTTTAAAAATAAAGGAAATTTACTTTAAAAACTATAAGGATATAAAGATGTAGATTGAAGTTAATGAGGATATCCCCTATTCTAAACGTAAGTAAATCTTCGACTACATATAGGTTTATACTTATAAGTTTAATAAGAATGGAATATTTAATAACAGCAAAAGCGAAGCTCGTCATATAGGGTAACTAATAAAAGAAAATAGGAATAAATACGTACGCGTCTACTCTAATTAAACGATTATTTTATATTATTATTGCTTTCGTTACCCGTTTTAACTTCCAATTTATTTAATATCATATAATTAACGCTTTTGTAAATACTTACCTCGATAAAGAAACTTATATATATATACTGCTAGGGTATTAAATACTTAGGAAGGTTCTTAAATTTATTAAAGCTTTATATAGTTTCCGACGAGCTCTCTTACTATAATAACGAAAATTAAACGGGGTATTTAAATCGATAAGATTTAAAATAATCTTTAAAGACCCGTATATTATAAAAAAAAATAGTATTCTTATACTATATTATATCGATAATATTATTTTTACGTTTGATAAAAGTAAAATAAAGGAGGTTAAAAAATATACGATAAAATTGTAATTATAGTATTCCCTAATAGGAGGAAATGAATTCTAATAATTTCTTGGTATTAAAATTATATATAATCGAAATTAAAGGAAAGTTTAATTATTTTAAGAGGTATAAATTAATAAAATTACTCAATTACTCAAATTTAGCTACCGCCCAACCTTAATACCTATAGGGTATAAAGAATTAATTCCGTATAAAGGTATTACTAATTACGTAAAGATACGAATATACTGAATTAATATAGGTTCTTTATTATATATAGTAATTAATATTGGATTAAATATTATATTCTCGTTAAATAAATTAATCCAATATAATTACAATTCTAATCTTACTTACTTAGCGGCGAACGAAAAGGCTATACGGTATTTAAAAATAATAAAACTATAAATATTCTACTTTAGCGGGAATAACAAACTCGAAATTATATTTAATATATTATTTACTAATAATAAGAGTAATTATAAAAGTTCTTAGGGATTTATAATTAAACTATATACCGGTTTAATTTACTAAGAAATGATTAAATAGACCGCGGTTACTACGTTAAGAATAGGAGTAAAATTATACGTAATTAAGAAGGTAGTTAAAGAGACCCTCTTTATAAACTGATTAATATCGGCATTAAGGGTAAGGTTACTAAAAGATCCTATTCCTACTCTACGTTATGATAACTAATAAATAATTAAGGTACTTACAGAGGGGACTCTTACTTTTAGTATAAAGATAAAGTACGTAGATATTTATAGATACTGATTAAGGGGAGAGATTTTCGAAAAAAAAAATATTTAATATCGAATATTTAGAAGTAAAATTAATACTAGTAGATAGATTACTAAAGGTACTAAGAATTCTAGAGTATAACAAATTTAGAGATTTATTAGGTATAGTTAGAGTACTGCTACGAGAAGGTAGCGGAGGAGGAAATAATCTGGTACTGGGAGAGGTAGATTTTAATAATTTGGATGCAATATTAAGATTAGAGATATGAAACAACGAGAGTAATATATAAATAGCTTTACTTTTAACCTTAAAGAAGAAAAAGAGGTTTGTAAGTGAGAGGGTGTGTTAGATTCT